GGGGGGGGGGGGCCCCCCCCCCCCCCCCTTTCCGCCGGCCATGTAACGTTATTATAACGTTCTTATAACCAGGGGCGAATGCAGAGATTTTTTGAAGGCGGAGGGGGGGGGGGCACAATATATAATTATCTAGGCCTAATTATCATCGTAAGTTCGTCAATCGGTTACCATACATTTTTTTAACTTATGTTTTGTTTTCTTTCTACTAAGTAACAACATAGGCTACTTAAAAGCAAATAAAATGAATACTATTATTACTAAACTAAATTTCAATTAATAGGTATTTATAGGTTATTTTCTAGTTTGTTGCATTCCTAGTACCATTTTACTCTTTTATCGAGCGGTTTTTATTTTTGTTTTGTTATCGATCGTACGCTTCCTACTACATAACAAATACAGCAAATAAAATGAATACTAAAAATTTGGTATTTCTCTTAGTACGGTATTATTTTTTGATAATGTTATTATTTATAAAAATCAAACTTTTTATCAGGAAAACCAGCCAACTCGTTATTTAAATTACTGAAACATTAGTTTATTAACAATTATTTTTATTAGTATTAAAGTTTATTATTGTTACTATATTACTGTATCACTTGGTGCTATTTTTCTTTTTTTTACAGAAACAACGCAAATGTTACAAGTTGACAGGTTTGAGATACGTTTTTTTTTTTTGTTTGTTGCGATATATATATTGATATAATTTTTATAAGTCAGGCTCCAGAGGAAAACAAAAATTTGATGTGTTGTAGAACTGATTTTTTTTTAGACAGAAAAAAGCAGTTTGATCAAAAACTGAGCAATGGTGAATGAGATACATATATTTAAATATTTAAAAACTGGGGGAACTGATTTTTTTTAGACAGAAAAAAGCAGTTTGATCAAAAACTGAGCAATGGTGAATGAGATACATATATTTAAATATTTAAAAACTGGGGGGAAAAGCAGTTACGCCCCTTTTTCCCCTAGTATTTAAATATTCAAAAATTTGTATCTTGTTCACCGTTCCCCAGTTTTTCGTCAAACAATTTTTTTCTGTCTTAGAAAAATCAGTTCTACAACATGAAATGTACCTATTAATATATATATATATATATATATATATATATATAAAACAAAATAGGCTATATAACAATTTTGTAGTGCAAATAAATAAAAAATAAATGAGTTTCACAACACAGTGAAGTGTACTACATAAACGGTTTCTACTATATTAATAACTTTATTTGAAACGAAACTTTTAAAACAGCGGCACACGCTCTTGCGGTGCGTTCGTAAAAGCGACATACAAACCATACAATACAAAACTTTAAAAAATTGCACAATAATTGAGACCTGGTGAGGGTCCATGGGCGTGGGCCCTGGTGCTCCGACAATCTGAGCACTTTTAGGTGTTTTAAATCGATTTCAGGGAGTGTTTGTTGACAATGGGTACGAAATATACCATAAAAACATTTAAGCAACGTACAATTTGAGTTTCAATGTAGGCCTACATTAGGCCTATGTTTAATTAGCACCCGAACTATGTAGGGTATTGACAAACTGCGAGGCATGCGATTCATGCAAGCTGTCTACCCTCGTGACCACTACGTTAACTACAATTCATGCAGGCAGGACGAAGTATAATTGCAGTATTGTACCAAAAGTGTGAGGCACCTTGGCTTAAAACATGCTAAAAATATTTTAATATAAATTATGATGTTTATATGACCTCGAGTAATACTAAAATCAAACCATTTCCTTCCATCAAAAAGTGACTTAATTCAACCCGGCCCGGTCATATCCCTGGAAGAGTCTAAATAGGAGTCACTGGCTCGCACTTTGGCAACTCTACGTAACAAAATTTGGCCCTTCACATAAAATAATTAAGAACCAGCTATATACATGGTCATGATGTGTGATGTCATCATGACCATATTTTTTTCAAATAAAATTTGATAGTCTGGATAGGGCTTTAGTATTTATTCCATCTCATTAATATGTAAACATTTAATTTATTGTTTTCACAAACTTTACATAAAATATCTAGTCTACTTTCAGGTTCATAACTGTTGTTCTGTCTGTTGTGACAAAAAAGATGTATTGTATCTTACATAGCACCCAAAATATTTATGACATCTGTTGGAAAATTCTTATAAGTAATCTGCTCAGTAATATATATTCTATTATATAATTATATACAGTAATTATATAAAATTACAAATTGCAGTTCAATTCAATATATTTTGTCACAGAATTAGAATTTAATTGATTAGCATTAATAATAAAATATAAATATAAAAACTATGAAAGTGGTTGTTATGTACAAAATATTATAGCCAAAATTTACATGTCAACATATAATTTTGCATAAATCATCATACAAAAAGTGTGAAAGAATTCACATTTGTTCATATATTATTACACAATGAATATTATCATATTGGGAGCACCCATTTATTGCAGCTTCAGGTACAGTACTTAAGAACAAATTCAGTAAAGGGGTGGCACCGGATTTCCCCTGACAGATGGTCCAACTTCAGGCCTGTATCCAGGACTGCCATTGGGGTAGGTGGTGTATGGGTGTTGCCTCTATGGCAAATTTAATGCCCCAAATACAAGTATTGCTATTTAAATTTCTATTTAATCATTATAACAGACAATAACAAATGTTATATTCAGTATGTTCTCAACTGTCTTAAAAATGTGGATCTTTCCCAATTGGGTAGGGCAATAGTGAGGCGAATCCATCCTACTCCCTAAATACTGTATGGGCCTGCAGCTCAGCCCCACCATGGTTCATTTTTGTCTGACAGACTTTACTGTGAATCTCCAACGACCTGGCCTGGGACCAGCCAGTCCACCTGCTGACACCACTGATGCAAATAAATATTCATTCTTTTCCTTTTATGCAGACACATCCGAGTGCACAATCCACCACCAGGAGTTTTTGTCATCCATGAGTGTTGGTAAGTTTATCAATGGTCAATGGTTGGATATTTATATAGCGCCTTCCACAGAACACCGTCTCAAGGAGCTTTTTAAGCCACAAGAAACAAAGACAAAAGAACGCAAAGGGGGTGGGGAGGAGTGCGCACCCCCTATTTTGAGATAGCATCGCCATCACTACCATGTACACGCAGGTACCTAGGCGTCAGTTTGCTGGGCTCCGGAAGCTTACACCAAGGATAAGTCTATGGCTCCCCTACCGTGCACTGCTAAGTTGGCGGCACTACCTCAAGTAAGGAGGTGCGACTTTTCAGGGGAACTACAGAACAACTTAACTACAGAAATTTAACTACAGAGATCACATCTCACTCTTCAGTTGGGAGCTGCTTGTCTATCAACCGTACAACATCATGACGTTCAATGGCCACCAGACACTCCTTAAGATCCCCAACTGACCAACCTTTCTCAGACCACCCATTCAGAACACACATGGTAGGGCTAACTTTCATGGACAGGTAATTGATATAGCGATCATAGCCAAGTTTCGAAGCTAGACCACGCCAATCATTGGAGAGTGGGTGCAACGGGTCGAGGAGGACGCAGATCTCTGTCATCAGGTCAAACGGCAGGATAGGTGATGAGATTTCCTTGAATACTCCGCTTAGTGACCGCAGGAAAACGGGCACCTTGTGCTTTACCTGAGCAGCAGGAGATTTTGGCGTTTCTGAAATAAACAATCAATGTCTTCAGGTCATTCAAACATTTATGTAACACCATCATTGTTTTCAATATGTATGATAATATAAACACTGACAAAAATGTTTTTACGAAATAGTATTAGTAATTATTCAAATGCATTTAGAAGTAATTATGAGAAGAAACATAAAACAAAATCTGAAGATGACAAAAATACAAATGGAACCACCATTTAGTGTGCCATGGATTGGGAATTGTAAACTACTAGGCATGCCACGTAACACAAGTACAATTTTTACGCACTACACCTAGGAGGCAGAAGTTTAGAAAAATATTTTAATACTTATTAATAACAATAAACAAAAACAATATTTCTTAGTAGGAGTAGAAGTTGACGGTTGTACAATAGTACCTTGCATTGCTCCGGATTCCCCAAACAAGCGTTGGAACCGTTTCGTCTTCATCCGCAGATGGTTCCCACAAGGAACACACTTTGCTTTGAGGCATTTCTTCAGCTCATGGAAGTGATTCTTCTCCCTGTCGCAAGCACTACACAAGATGCAGAAGCCAAAGTCAATGCGTTTCATCCAGGTATGTCCGAGGTTTAGCAGGTTATTCTCCAAGAGTGCTAGCAACTGTAATTATAAAGTGCTCAATTTTAGGAAAAAAAATAATTGTGACAAAAACATTCTCAAACAAAATATGGGAATGATCTGGTTTTTTAAAATAAATTTACAGTAATTCACAAATAAAATCTTTATCAGCTTTAATCCACTATTACTGAATATAAAGGAATAAAATAAATAAGCAATTCAGATAAATATACAGCCGTAGAGGACATATATTTTGAAGATTTTGATGTCCAGGAGGCTTAACATTTAAGATGATAAAATACTAACCACTTTGCAAACATCTGAGCAAGGCTCAACATCCTCTTCCTCTTCCTCTTCATCATCACTGCCAACAGATTTAGCCCGCACAATGGCTACCTACAGACCACAAAAATATTTGTATATTTTAAAATTAAAATACCAATTCGTTTTTTCAGTGTTCCATTTTTTCAGAACCAGTAAATTTGCTAAAGCTTTTGACACTGACTTGTGGTTGAATATTTATGAAACCACTTTTTTTTATTGCATCCGTTCTGCTGTTTTTCATCCTAAACCGTTAAGAGCAATCATAACAATAGGTAGATTATAATGATAATTTACCAATACATATGCAGCTAATTTTTATTTGAGAAAAATAATACAAATGGGTGATGTTATGAATGCTAATTGCCATTGTGATCACCATATGGTTGGGATATCCTTAGAAAGTGATTAAGTTCCTTGTTCGGATTCCTCCTGGCCAGCATTTTGTGGTTCTTTGATTCATCTCTAACTGGTCAAGGAAGTCAAGCCACATGTGTCGGATCAGTCTCTCTTCCAGGAGTCCTTCTTCATCAAGTCTTGCCCATGAACTTCTGAATTTGGCCCACTTAAATACAAAGAAAAATTCTTATATTCTATTCTAAAATATATAAAATTCTAAAATTACTCTCACAAATATAATTATATAATAATATTATTATATAATTATTAAAAGAAAATTGAAAGGAATTGTCCTACTTGCTCTGACGGATCCTTGACTGTGATCACTCTCCTAAAGATACATATTAACCAATGAGGATTCAGGATGATGATGTCATTGAGAGCACTGCCTGGTGTATGGCGTTCACCATAGTAGATGATGTTTCCCAGGTCATGGTAGAAATGCAACATGGTGAACAGTTGAATTTTTTTGATGACACCACACTTTGCAGCTAGTTCTTTCACCTATTATTTACAAATTAAAGCAATTATGAAATATTTGTGTATACACTACATCAGTTCCAACTACATATCCTCATAAAAATGAATTTTATTCACAAGAGTTTGCAAAAATATAAAATAAATTTCTTAAATTTAACAAAATTGCACCACACTCTCAAATAATTAAGGTTTCTAAAAACAGCAGATCAACCATCAAACAATTATAAAATGTAACCACCTCCTATGGTAACTTGGTGTAACATAACAACCACCTGTGGTAACCAATGTGTAACGTAACATCGAGTTGTGGTAACCAATATGAACAGAAGCAAAGGTGTAACATAACAACCACCTGTGTTAACGATGGAATAAAATACCAACCACCTGTGGTATCCAAGGAATAAAATACCAACCACCTCTGGCAACCAAGTTGTACCATAACCACCTGTGGTAACCGAGGTGAAACATAACAACTTGTGGTAACCAAAATGTAACTTAACCACCTGTGGTATCCAATATCTGAGTACCCTAACAACTGCTGTGGCAATTAATGGGTAACATAAGAATCGTCTTCAAAATAAAGAGTAAACCACCAGCCTTAGCCAAGTAGTGAAACATTTACCTAGCAAACAACCTACTGCTACTTGCCTCTGTGAAGTTGATTGAGTGCGTTTGTTTGTTGCGCAACTGCTCAACCTCATGCAAGAAGTCCAGCCACTTAATGGGGATTCTCTCCCCCATGTAGTGCTCTAACTTCGCAACCATGGTGATGTGGTCCCTCAAGTGAACAATAGCTTGATCCAGGGGTGACCTGAGGCTGTTGTCAATTGCGTAGTACTTGCTCACTACATGGCCCTCGTATGGTGTCCCTCTTAAAGCCTTCTTAATAACTGCAAACTTCTCTTCTGCCTGTCAATCAAATAGAATACAGAAGAAAAAAAAATTAATACACAATACTCAAACAAATCAATAGTACTTGTATATTTGAATAAGTAAATACTCACTAGCGCCTGTCTCTCTTCCGCATTTCCTGGTAAGCTTTCTCTGTGTGTGCCAGCAATGAACACTGGTGGTGAGAACTGCTCCTGGGTTGCCACCGATGGGTTTTCGGTGGTATTTGAGTAGATCGACCGCAACCAGAAAATTATAAAATCCAAGTTGCTCATATGATGTTCCGAAAATGAAACCTATAGAAATAATAATTTTAAAACCCTTTTTTATAATTAACATTATTGGAAAAGTTGGTTCTATTCCTTTATTTTTTCGTTCTTTAACTACTCATTTATACTCGCATTCAATAACCTCAGGTCCATCAATAATAATGTCTTATGAAATTTCTTTGACTTGTTTTGTTAAAATTTGAATATTGTACATAATGAATAGTAGCAGCCCTTGATGGCTTATAATAGCAAAATCCCAATTAAATTTAAATTGAAGATTAAAAAAAAAACCTTTCCACCCTCTCGCTTATATATCTGTACTTTAGCAGGTGCGTGGAGGTCATGACAAAGATTGAAGCAAATGATGTAGAGAGCACGAGATACCAAGAACACCTGAAACAATAAAATACATACACTTTTATCGTGTCATTTTATATGTGTCTGGATAATTACAATAGAGCTGGTCTAATATATATTTGAATAACTTAAAAAATAAATAAAATTTATCCTGATAATACCAAAACATACTAATGCGCATGAACACATTGTTTTATTATTAGTATTAGATTACAAATGGAAATCTTTAATGCTCTTAATGCTAACCAAAACAAAAAACAAATACAAATTTAAATAATCTATCTCTTCTTGCTAAAGTTTGAAATTGTTTGATTTTCTGGCAACCATACCTGGTGAGTGATATAGTAGAGATCCTGTCCAGCAAAATCCCAGATACTCAGAATCAAGTCATCAAGTGTCTCCTCTAACCCTTCATTTTCTTCTCGCCTTTCCTGATCTTGGAGAATCTGTAAGACAATTTGAACGACCTCTTCCGGAACATCAGGTGTTGTTGGTGAAGTTAAATCATCTATTGATGAAGTACTCTTTAGAACATCTACTTCACCGTCTGAAGCTGGCACATCTGTCAAGTTAAAAAAAAATGAAAAAAAAAAAGGAATGAAATAATGTTAACCACTATTATTTAATGTCCAACATATATTTAGGTACATATCTGTACAATATTCGTCAGCCCTATCCACATCTCTATCTATACATCTATACACTCTATCATACATCTGTCTGCATTTCTGTATTCAGACAATACTTTTTCATAATATGATAAAAGTTTGCTGCAAAAACATAAATTAAAGTTTATTAATACCTTCAGATGCTGTCATTTGGTCATGTGACTGCACAGGTGCATCAGGTGATGTGTTTGTTGACTTGGTAACATCCGGTAATTCTACACTTTCAAATGTCTTGATTTCATCTTTCACTGATAGCTGTATGGTATAAAGATATTTTATTTACAAACATAGAAATCCTATCCTTTTTATCGTTATTAAAAAAGCACATAAAATACATACTGAATCATGCAAACTTTTTAAGATAAATGTCTGTACTTAAAGCCAGGCATGCAATGCGCACATGGTTGTCGGCTGATGCGATTCCATTGACAATGAAATCCAACAAAGCGATAGATTGTTTTCAATCCACTCACCAATTATCAACAAGCGATGTTGTGTCATAAAGAATTTAAAGGCAGCCTAGATGGATTTGGTTGTCAAAGGTCATATGATGCAGTTTGTGACTGGCTTTATACAAGCAAAACATTGTGGCTGTTGAAAGTGCAGTTCAATGTTCTTGCAAATGACATCATAATTTGTATTTTTTGAACATTAACCTTTCTCACTATCACTTTAAATATCCTCATTTTTTTTTTTTATGCATTTAGGTCACTGTATAAGTTTTAACAAATAATTATGTAAAAGCACAAGGAAGGGAAATAAGTATGGTATGTTAACAATGCAACGTTCAAGGGCTGGCATCTTGAAGTCCTGTTCTAGTCACTAAATTAACATTATTATAGTCGTCTCACCACTAAAAATACTAATTATATCACTCATAAAATCGTTTATAGTGTGTCATACAATGATATATCTCCACAGACATACAAACCTGAGATTCTGGTTGTTTTTCATTTTTCTTCTGCAGAAGCTTTACTGCAACCTGTTCTGCAACAGCTCTCAGATACTGCTGCCTTGCTTCACTTATTGTCCCTTTGAATAAAAAAAAAATGTTTCAGTCAGATTTAATTCAAGGTTATCACAGTTAATACTATTAAAATGAACCATCCATGGTCAACCTACTTGATTTCTTATTCTTTTATGTGGAACAAGCAATATTTAAAAGCTACAATAACATTGCTCAATTTAAATAAACCAGGTGTATTGATTTAGATACCTTCAGGTGATTTCGGTTGTGGTTTCCAGTTAGTGGTATGCTTAACACTGAGTGTGCATGACAATGACGCTTCAATTCCATCTGTAACTTCTTCAGTAGCATCAAATCTGAGCAAAAATAAATCAAATATTAATCAATTTTTTTAATAATCTTTCCAAAATAATTATATTTGGAGACTTAGGAAGCAGGTGATCTCTGTTTATGCAAGTACTTTCAACAGGCTATCCAAAATATATTTCAAACAAACCTAGTGTACCATAAACCAAAGTGAAAACTTACTTTTGTTCTGTGAGGGCTTTGGTGAGACTGGTTTTACCAACACGTTCTGGTCCAACAAGCATAAGGCGTGTTTGGTAGATGGGTTTGCTGCCCTCTTTTATTGCATCAATAAATGCATTATTAGCTTCGAGACCTCTTGCTAGCACTTCAAGTGGGACTTGACCTGTATTAATGATGAATGGATTGATTAGTATTATACCTATATCATAACAATGCTTACTATTTTTCCCTTTGATTGTGGTTTAAAACTTACTTGTTACTTGTTCCACTAGCTACCCTTATTTAGTTTAGAAAACACTTTGCTGTCATCCTGGTTCAAAAGGATACTGAAACTCATCATTAGAGAGGGGCTTCCCTGATCTGTTCAAGTCTTGCCTAGTGCAAGGCTATCACCATGAAACACACCAATGACAGACCATGAAAATCTTATATTTCCAGTGAGGTCTTTCTGGTGAATTGAGCAGTATTCTGGAAGACAATCCCCTAGTCTTTTGCTAAATAGCGTACTTACTTCCTTAACATGCGCATGAGACATTGCACAGGACTGATGGCTTAAACATCTCAATACCATACAATATTCATTTGAAAAACTGTGCCTTTGCATTCAAAGATGGGCATACCATGTGTTCATGTCATGCATAGAATATACATCTGTATACATTATTAAAGTTAATCTCTTGCAAACTTACCTCCTTTAACATCCACTACTCTGTCTCCGTAACGAATAATAAGCTCCTCTTTAAGCTTTAAAGCGTTGGACGGATATCTAGTATAAAAATACACCTCTTTAATGCTTTCCCGCTTAACCTTGTTCATGAAACGGTGTATGGCATTGAGCATGGTAAGTGCACATTGGTGCTGCCCGATTATTGTATATCGGTTGTAGATCAATGGTAGAACAAGTGATTTTAATCCAGCTTTTTCAGCTGTCATCAGACAGTCAATTGTACAGGTTTCAATCTGGAGACACTGTTGGGTGTAGTCTGTGGCTTCCTTGTCATTTCCTCGCACATGGTAGAGATGCTGAAATGGAAGCTTTTCTGCTGATGTTATAACCAGATTCATCTGGTGTTGCCTATGAGTTTCGAAGACTTTCTGGATTACGTCTGTTGGTAGAGCAGCTAAAAAAAAAACCAACAACAAAAAAACACTTTCCAAATCCAAATTTGAATGATTTTCAATGTACTTTTTGAATTGATTTTTATATTTTAATTGTTAAATTGTAAATGACACAATTTGGCCCCTGGCCACAATGTGTTAAATTTTTTTAATTTAATAAAGTAATACATATCTAAATAGATGAGTAAAGTTGAACCACTTTGTCAAAACTGCATTTGAATTACACAATTTTACATTAATTTAATTATCATCATCATTCATCATATATTGTTATTTGGTCATGGACATAAAAAAAAAAAACAATTTCTGATCTACTGACAATACTAGGGCTGTATCCAGGAATGTGATTGACATTGAGTGGGAATTTGTGCAGGAGTGTGCAAAAGTGGACCAGCTGTATATAACTTTTGCTTCTCTTTTTACTCCTACATGAAGAGGTGAACATCTATTAATCAACTTTGATTAAATTTATTCCTGTGTTTAAAAGTTTTAATGTAGGATAAACAATGGTGTACAGTAAATAGCTGAACACCACATAAATAATTCTGAGCAAAACTGATGTCTTGAGAGCACCCAAAATTGTTCTGAAGTGATTCTTACCTTCAACAAGAATTCTTGCAGTTAATCCAGAATTAGCAACTTTGAAGTTTGCCGAAGGATTCACAAGAATATCTGCAGGCTGTTTCTTTGGGTCACCGCTAGACACAATTAGGCGTGTTTGCGTTTCAGGATATGTGTATTCGCACATTAACTGAGTTGGCATTTGATATGATCCCACTGATTAAAAACCATTAAAAACAATTACAGGTATATTAAAATGTGATCCACATACAAATTTTATCAAATAAATTTTTGGTTGATTAATTGCTATTATATTATTTTAGTAAATATAAGCTTTAGTGATAAATATTCATTATCTTATAATCATCATGTTGATTTTTTTCAACAAGCTTTATCTTATTAAATGTTACAGTTAAATTCAACAAATGAAAATATTTTCCCCATTGCATGGATACAAAACATTCATTAATTTGCATTATAACACACCTCATTCTACATCAGTATAAGTTTAAACACAAACAACTTTTAAGACAGTCAACTTTAAAACAGTTCAGTTCAAATTTTGCAACATATATTTAATGAAAAAAACTTAGGTCTCTCTTTCTTCAGAATGGAATAGTTCATCTTCAGTTAATCAATGAAAACATTGGAGGGAGAGCTTACAATGGGGCAAAATGAATGGAACAAAAATTGCATGGATGGAACTAAATTTTTATGAGTGATGAAATGGTGTAAATAACCAATAACAAGTGATACAACATCCACCAATCAAATGACAAGGATCTATTTGGGGTGTCCTATAAAGTGGTCTAATGAAGTGAAGTCTCCCTTCCTTCAGAATGGAATAGTCCATATCCAGTTAAGCAATGAAAACATGGAGAGCTTACAATGGGACAAAATGAATGGAACAAAAAATGCATGGATGGATCTAAATTTTTATGAGTGATGAAATGGTGTAAATAACCAATAACAAGTGATACAACATGGAGTGGAGTTGAATAGCTTGGTGGTTAAGATGCTTGCCTTCCAATCCCAGGGTCATGGTTTCAATTCCTGTCAGTTGCAGGACTTTTTCTCACGACCAAAACAATTCCACTCCCTAAACCACATATTGAGATTTAGTTTGTGTAAAGCATCATGTGTGTATGTTTGTCTTGTGTGTCGTGGACTGTTGTAGGCCTATGTGTACTGGGCCCTCTGGGAGAAAAGTAATTTGTTACTGAAGAGGAAACCCAGTATAAATAACAAATAAATAAATAATCCACCAATCAAATGACAATGATCTATTTAGGGTGTCTTATAAAGTGGTCTAATGGAGTGGTGATTACTTTTTGGGGTATTATGTCATTTTTTGTATTTTCTATTATTCAGTATTCAGGCACAAAGTAGAGTTGTACACTCTAATGTATGAACATAATCTTTTTCTAATCCTACCTTTTCTTTCTTGGACTCCAGTTTCCAAAGGCTGCTGGAATTTCAATGCCTTTTGTTTGATCTGGTCAATAAATATCACTTCCTTTATACTTGAACTAACAGACATGTGTTGCAAATAATCAAGAACTGCTGAGACAATGATGTCTGCACAATTATCTGCAATAGTGGCACTTTTCCCAAGACCAAATTGCCAGAGAGAGCTGTACAAGAGGGGGATACTAATAGACACACAATTGAGAAGCTTCTCGCACTGTTGAAGTGAATGGATGATATTCTGTGTTAGGATGGACTGCCATTTCTTGTTATCTTCAATTCCTGGGATGCCAATGTGGAAGATATATTTGCATTTAAGATCTCCCCCATCAGTTGTTATGACTTTATTGTCCTGCCTTGAACTTCGCAAGACTGCTAATTTGTCAGAAAATTCATTCCTTGCCTGGTTTCCAGCTAAACACAAAGACAGACAAAATAGTATCAACATTAATTACAATTTCAAATCTGCAAATTCTGGCATTTCTTTAATGATACCCTAAAACCTCAAACAGAAGCCCTGAGCTTCATTTTATTTTAGGACTGTTGGAAGCGCTTCTTTTCGAGATGGGCTTCTTTTCAAGAATACTATTGCAAGAGAAAAGCTCAATTGATTTTGCCCATGAAACAGAAAATTGGGGAGAGTTCTGCTAGTTTTTCTTTCATACACAAACATACCCTCCTACTTTTTGGTCACAATTAAGTATTAACAAATATATATTTAAGGGATTGGGAAGGAGAACTGTTCTTCACACTCTGAAAGTTGGTAATTTGGAATATGGAATAGATAAGAGGACTTATGATGACCAAAGAGGTCTTAGGATAAACCTTGTTTGTAGTGTCAATGGTCAGATTTTTACCATTCCCTAGTGCACTGATTCCCACGCCAAAGTCGACCATGACAAAATCCTCATCAAATGTTGTCACAACTATTGCATCTGTGTTTTGATAGCAAATATCACCGCAAAGAACTGACAATGAAACATAGTAGTGTAGTTGGCATATTTGGTACCTTGTCGGTACTTTCGGCAATTCTGTCAAATCAAAATCAAATAAAATCATCAGACATTTATTTCATCATGTTACTGTACATACAAGTCGTAGATGAGGACCAACATAGAAGTTAAAGTAGTCTCCATTGGCTTTTTGACATAATTACAAAAGACAAAATACCATTTTGGCAGTTTTGGTTTGTATAAGAGGTACACGCTGAAAAGATTCAGGTTGATCTTTATTAACCTTTCAATACCAAACCTCTGAATTACTTTTAATAGCTGAAAAAATAATTTTAAAATTTTATTATGAAGATGTTTTTACCACAACAGCAAATACATACAGGGGCCTTCAAAGAGGTAAACACAAATTCAAAAGTCTCTTTATGGAGTCTACCTGTATCCTTGGTATTCTTGAATGTAACTTTCTTTGTTTTCTTCACTGTTACTGCAGACTTTTTCTTCCCTGGAGAAAAATAATCTTAAAATCAGTGGCGGATGATCAAAGTAAGCAAGGTATGCAGTGCATACCCTAGCACAAAAACATAATTAAAAATATACATATATCTTTTCACCATTTTATTTAGCATTTCTTAGCTACAATCTCCTACACTAACCTTAATTTTGAGTTGATTGCTACGAAATTGCTAAGTTAATATTGCTAGTTTTTAAATATTTGGCCTACTTTGGTAGGCCTATATTACTGGACAAGCCTTTTGCATTATACTCAATGCTGCTTAGAATTTCCGCATGACTAGTTTCCAATATCAGCCAATCGCATTTTTAATGAGTCAATGGAAGTGGGATCTACTTTTAAGCCGTTTTTTTGGAATTTTTTTTTCACGATTCTGCCGACAAACATGGAATTTTGTCTGTTTTAGAATAGAATGATGAAAATAATTCAAACTATTGATTTTTTTTTTATTCATTTTATGTATCTTCACCATTATCCATTAAAAAAAAAACAGCATCCCATAAGAATTTCTATCTTTTTTTACAGATTTATGAAAATAGGGATTTCCAATATGGCCAACCCAAGGTCACAATGCCACCTAATTAAAAATTCCAATTTCAATTTTTTCACATAGGCCAACCTTTTTCCCACCCCAACACATAAATACAATTTCAAAATAACCTCTTTTAGTCTTTTTTTTTGGCATTTATTTAAAAATAAGCTTCTTCCTAAAAAGGCCCAGCAGTGAAAGGGTTAAAATTAACGATTTGAAATGGGACTGTGTGTGCTTGACGAAAATCAAATATATTTGTTAATCACCTGTGCCTGAAAAGTGAGTGTGCTTGAAAAAGGGTAAAAAATTTAACCTTTTGGCTTTCCATACAATACCGATTGAGACACGGCTACGGAATGAGGAAGTACTGTACGTAAACATAATATAGATACAATTGGAATTTGAAGTTATGTTTTTGGGACACAAACTAAGAATCAAAAGCACTGCATCTTTACAAAATCTTTTCGTTTAATCTCGTTCAACAATCTTTCAAGCTGTTGAAATTGTGTCCACTAAATACTTTTTTTCTTATAATTTTGGAAAATTGTTAGTATTGAACACAAAAAGGTATACAATACTAATAATTTCTTTGGCGATAGAACTACTATTGGTTACTTCCTACATTATCAGAGGACATCTCCTTAAATACAAATACACTTTAAATTTACTGCATAAATAATACAACCAAAAAGCTTACCTTCATCACTATTCATTAAATCTTTGACAAAATCTTTAGCTATTGAACTAAACAATTTTTCTGCAATTTTGAAAAAAAAAAATCAATTTTATTCACACAGAAAAAAATATGATGGCCCATACATTCATGGCAATATCAATTTGCTCACAACATCAATTTGGTTCATGGCAATATAAACTTTTAACACGAACCGGATGTGACATAAATGACAAATAAAAAAACAATCGTGACCCCTTAGGTTGTTGCTAGGTAGGCCTACACGTACACTGTGTTTTGCAACCGGAAGGAAGTTGATTACTTGTTACTGTAACAACTGTAACAACTTCCAACAACTGGAAGTTTCAGTAGATACTTGTTCCTCGCTCGATACTCGCTACTGCTGAAGTTAGATACTTGTTCGACGTTCAACATATTCATCCCTGTGCGTGTTAAAGAGGGCGTTCATTAATCGTGTCACATGACCCCATTTAATGAATCAATGAATGTCTGGTCAACCCAGAAAAATACAACTTGGCCTAGCCCAAGCGGGGCAGTAACCCATTTTAAATAAATAAATATACTGCATTGTATGATTCATTATAACATAAGGTATAATACTTAAAGTGTCAAAAGCATTTTTAAACAGCTTAGGCCAAGTGCCCGATTGTCCCAATGAATCATTGAATGTCTGGACAATCCAGAAAAATACAACTTGCCCGGGCCCAAGCCAGGCAAGTGCCCTATTTAAATAAATATAAATATTGTATTATATTCATTTCATTTATCAAATAATTTTTTCAATACAATTCAATTTATTCCACTCAATTCATTCCATAAAATACAAAACATGAGTGGCGAGTACTAAAAAGCAAAGCTTAATACAAATTAGACCCGTTAAGCTAGAAAAAAAGGACTTGCCTACAATTTTTGTTAACCTTAGCAATGATGTTTTCATGTGACATTTCAAGATGTTGATAGTGAGGGCATTTTTTATGGTAGAGGGAAGAGAGTTCCACCTCACTGGGCCAGAGAAGAATATATTAGATTTTCTAAGACCAGTACGAGCAATAGGTAAATGAAAATGATTAGATTGTCTGGTAGAGTGCCTGTGGATTGGATTTGGCTATTTTTGGAGAAAGCAGTTAAGATTGCATTGGGGTAGATCTATGGTATACATGAAACATAAAAGTTACAGAAAAAAACTTAAGTGAAAAATGTCAAGTAATCCAAGATGTTTAAACTAAGGAGCTATATGAGCATGAAATTCAGTGCTACAGACAACACGGGTTGCTCGCTTTTGTATTAAATGTAAACAGTTTAGTTGGTCTGTGCACATAATTGTATATTAAAAAGGACAAATGACCTTTGAATGACCAAATGACGTTGCACAAGTATCTGACTTCAGCAGTAGCTAAAATCAAACGAGTAACAAGTATCTAATTTCCAGTTGGCAAATAATGTACGAGGAACAATTAACCAACTTCATTCAGGTTGCAAAACACAGTGCATGTGTAGGCCTACCTAGCAACAACCTGGGGTCACGATTGTTTTCTTATTTGTCATTTATGTCACATTCGGTTTGTGTTAAAAGTTTATATTGCTGTGAACCAAATTGATATTGTCGTGAGCAAATTGATATTGCCGTGAGCAAATTGATATTGCAGTGAGCAAATTGATATTGTTGTGAACGGTTTTTAAAAGTTTATATTGCCGTGAACCAAATTGATATTGTTGTGAACAAATTGATATTGCCATGAACTTATGGGCCACCGTAGAAAAAGAAACAAGTTTACTCAAAATTTGTAACTGAAAGATCCTTTAATGTATAGTACATAATATAAAGGATCTTAATATTTCAAGTTTAATATACATTTACTTTCATAATTTGGTGATGCTAGCCAATCACTGGGCCTTGTTATACTGCAATTCATATTTCAATAGCCTTAGCAGATTGAGGCTGAGGTAGACTGTCATGATTAAGAGTGGGGCTTGACTATTTTTATACTATTCTGTTAATAATTTTTTATTGTGCAACAGAAAGACTTACTTATATTGCTTCCTGTTTTACTTGATGTCTCAAACACTTTTGCATTTATACCTGTAGAAAATAATAAAATCAATAAAATATATACATTCAAATGGCATAAAATAATGTAATGATAAAAGACAAGCTCACAGTTTATTAAGGTTTTCTTTGCATATGAGCTGTCAATTTCACCATAAATGGTTATAGATAGGAAACAAGTGAATAATAATTATGCAATTAAGCAATCAATACGCCTGAAACCATAAAATAAATTAGCAAGTTATATGAGTTTAGATCATGTCTTAATGAAGGGATTTAAAGGTCAAAATACTTTAGCTAAATCTACATCTATAGATAATTTTTAAGATGATTTGATGAATATCAGTTTTCTAAGCAGTAAAATTTATACCTTCAAGTGACATAAAATAATGCAGCGAAGAAAGACAAGCTAATAGTTTATTTGGGTTTTCTTTGCATATGAGCTGTCAATTCCACTATTTACCAAGTTCCAAGTAATATATTTCAGACTTTCTTGTGTAAGGCTCTTCATAAACTGATTGCTAACTATGTGGTCGCTGTTGACGTTGTTGCTTAAAAGTTAATGTGAAGAAGTTGCAAATGTGTCTACTTACTATCGCCATAGTTTTTTGTTTCATGGTAATCAACTTCTTTATTCTTTTTACCATCTTCAACTAAATCTACTTTGGTACCACATAGATAAATTTTACATTTCTGAAATAAAATCACAATGTAATGTAGTAATGCTTTACACCAGAACGATCTAAAAAATAACAAGCACAAATTAAGTATAAATAACTGTGTTCCTTCTTTTTGTTGCAATAATCTGTAAGAATTCATAGAATCAATTATATTGTAGATTAAATTCATACTTAATTTTGTGTTTAAACTAATATAATTTTGTGTTGAGCCATATTTAATTTCTATTTGTGATACATTATTGTTTTAATGCTTGGTATTTAAAATGTGTGCTTAAATGTACGTGAATTATCAAAAGAAAACCTTTTCATTCTGTAGAAGTTCACCAGCCCAGAATTTTGCCTTCTCAAAACTTGTGGCCTCAGTTACATCTGTTAAATAAAATGATAAGCATACTAGTAGTAGTTCTGATAGCCTAGGGGGATGTAACACCAAAAAAATATCTATCAGCCAAAACACATGTAGGCAGAAAAATAGGAAAGCAGCAGCAATAGTAAAAAATAGCTGCAATTACAGATAATTTAAAAAAAAATGTTATTAATAAAGTATGCAATTGTTTTACTGACATATATATTATAAATAATTTAATTAAATGATGTTTATTATACAATTTTAACTAAACCAGTAATTGGATCCTTTCTCTTCTAGTAATCCCTAGTATTTCGTTTTCAGTATACCAGGTTACATATTTGTATTGTAGATATAATACTTTACCTTTACCAGGTAAAGTAAACATGACACCAACCTTTAAAACTCTATTTGGACTTACCATAACATAAAATGGCAGCTTTGGCCCCTCTGCAGTATGTCCTAATTAGAGCATCAAACCCGTCAACTCCAGCAGTGTCCTGTCCAAAATTAATTCAAAATTGCAATATGTATTCAATGATAATTCTGCTTCATTAACTATTTTATTTTGGCTTAAAGATAAAAGTTGCTAACAGTATGCGATTCTAAATTTATTTAGCTCATCACAATTCTTTAATAAGCCTCAGACTGGAGTGTGAATTCCTAGGCAACTTGTGTACTTTTCATATATTAGTGTTTTTTTCTGTTTGGCAAGATAAACAATATAATAATTATTTTTTACAATTATAGTTTTATTGTAATATAGGAAAGGAAACACATTTAATATTTAAAAGCTTTTATAATCATGAGCAATAAAATCTTAAATACCCAGGTTTCCTTGATAACTATTTACTACATTCAAAATTGTATCTTAATATTTCTTCATTAAAAAAACAATATATTATGACATTTCACATTCATTCATCCATTTATTCAATTACTCATTCCTTATTCAGCCATGAAAAAATTAAGTAAACAAAAAAGAAAATAATTTAATAAGAATGTTAACAATAAATTAAGTTGGGTAGAATTAACAAAGTGTTTGTGCACAATCGTAGGCCTGTTTATTTGAAGTTAGGAATTTATAAACAAAATAATTCTATACTATCATAAAAAAAAAAAAACCATCAAAAACATTTATTTAATATAAAGTGAGTACTGTAAAGTTTTGAAGTAGGTGTCTGAGCCAGACAACCAACTGAGGAATATCAGCCATTCATGTGAACCACATCGCAACTGATCAAGAGATTCAGGATTTTTAAATACATACAGTATTAGGAATATGGAAACAGTCTTAAGATATTACTTACAGCTGGGACTTGAACACGAAATCTATCATAATGATATCGTTGAAGTAAACTTGTCTTTCCAATGTAATCCTCCCCCAAAAGTAAAACTTTGCATAATAGACTTTCACTCATATTAATTTCCTTGCAACTTGATAGGAATAATTCCAGTTAAATTCTATTGTTGGTGATATTTCATATAAACCTGTCTACCGTGTGTGTCAATCATTGATGGTATACTCTCACAGATTTCTGTAAAAGTCAGGTACACATATCACTAAAATTAAAAAGAAAAAATAAATTGTAAAAGTATTTCTATATTGCTTGTCTACAATCCTCTTTTAGTAAATTAACTAAAAACAACCTAAACTAGACTTCTGACTTATTATGTCTGTTTGAACAACCGAACATAGGCTTTTCCCCATTTTCCTTTAAATGGTCCTCATATTCACACCTTACGCCAGATCACCACAAAAATTCAGTCATTTCTTTACTGGACCTTTATAAACTATTATAGAAAGTTTTATTTACGTCCATTGAAAACTTTTTATAGATATTTACGTCTGAAATCTTAAAAAATTAAATGACCCTCCAATTTACACCCGTGACTGATTCGTCGCCAACACATAATACTATCTTGAATCTTGGTTAAACTTTTCCGAATGTTTAATTCAGATCTGTTTTCGAAATGTGTAGTTTGAGACGTTTTCCTTTCAATGGTCCTCAGATCTACACCCTACTCCAGATCATCACAAAAATTTAATCATTTCTTTACTCGACCTTGACAAACAGTTAGGTTTAAATTATCCACACCATACTGCAGATCGTCAACAAAAATTTAATCATTTTTTTACAAGACCTTTACAAAGTATTATAGAATGTTCCATTTAGACCCTTTGGTTTTTTTTTTAAAAGATATTTAGGTCTGGGTCCTCAAAAATTGAAAAGACCCTCAAATTTACACCCTTCACTGGATTGTCACGAACATATAAACATTTCTTGCTTGTAACTTGATTAAACTTTCCCATAAGTTTCATTCACATCAACTGACCGGTTTTTTAAATATCCGGTGTAGACTTTTTGACCTTAAATCACTTTAATTGGTCCTCACACGCACACCCCACCATAGACTGACACTAAATATTAGGAGGCACATCCTTGATATATGGCAAAGCAAGGAAAAATTCTAAGCAAGGGAAGTGACGGCCAGAAAAAAAAAAAACATTGCAAAAAGATAGGAAAATATATGCAAGAAAAACGAAAAAAAAAAAAAAAAATCAGAACAAAAACAATGGCTTTTCTCAGTGCTGTTTGGAACAGCCAATTAAACAATACATAATAAAATCAGTAATTTACTGAATTTTTTTTTTGCAATATTAAATAATTAAATTTAATATACTGAACAATTAGCATAAAATATACAACTGACTTATTTAAGACAACATGGAATAAAACGCTTTTTTGAGACACCATCACAACACCCAGTCTACTAACTCTAGCCTACAAAATGTTTGGGCCTGAAGATGTAATTATTGTGCGCAGTTTGTGCTTTTTGCTAATTTTAAGTAAATGTTATTTCAAACTGTGCGGAACCCAAAACGTTGTCAGAATCCAAAACGTAGATTCACACCTACCTGTAACAGCATGCTGCAAGGGTAGAATTGCTTCATGAGGCCTGTATACCTAAGACAGCAGATAAGTATTGGTGTGCTTACAGACTTCTCAAGTGCTACAGATTGTCCGTAGTTGCTACCCCTTTCTACGGAAATTTGGCCCAATTACGGACATACGGAAATGAAGATAGATACTACAGAAATATTCCACTTCTGCGGAAATAAAAATTCGCCCATCATGATTAAAAAAACCCCAATTATTCTCACCGACAAAATACGCATGTACATGAATTATAAAAACAAAAATGATTGATTGTTGAAACATGATACCGCAGTACCGTACACAACTTTGCTATGGTCCATGACATCTTCAATCTGCCTTTGGCTGTTTGTAAGGTTGTATGCCTACATCTATGGATTTACTAAAGATTTTACATATTGACTAAGAGATTTCAAGAATGGTGAATGATGTTTTACTTGTACATTTCAAGGTTTAGGTCTGCTAATATATTTGTAGTACAGTACCTGTTTATAGACCTATTATTAAACTCTTTGGAATTATTGGAATAATTATATATATATATAAGCTATAGGCCTACCATTATGTTGCTGGTTAATGATAATAATTTTGAATGTCATTTTGTATCTATTATGCTTGTTTTGGTATGCTTTAACCGGGGAGGGCATAAAAATCAGTCAGAGGGCCAAAATGACTTTCTGATTTAACACCGAGGGCCGCACCCAAACTTTAATCTTTCCAGTGCGCTTTCAAAAATCTCCAAGCACTGCTTTTACACCACTTTATTCCCAGTTTTAATATTACTTCTTACATACAATCGATGTCGGGTCGTAAAAAACAAGGTGTTTTTTAGCCAATGTTGCTTGGCAGGCCGCACACACAGGCTTTTTAATTCATATTCGCAGACTACAAAAAAATCGCTGTCGGCCTGCATGCGGCCCGCTGGCCGCACTTTGTCCACCTGTGCTTTAAAACTATGATGACAACCACGTTTTAACATTCTCAAGAAGATTTATTACCCTTTTAGATACAGTACAATAAGGAAATGGTGGCATTATCATAAACATCATGCTTGTAGCAGAGATATCATTTACAAAAACAGCTAAACTGTTTTAAAATACTAGCAAACTAGGAAAATGAATAATAATGAATATATATAAAAATGTGGTATAGATTTCTCATTTGCTTAAAAATTAAATGTATTCATAATTATAATTGTAATGTAATTGGTGTGTGTATTGTTCTTCTTGTTGGGGTAGACTTTACTCACTCAAGCTTTGCCTGTAGAGTTACGTACTTCTTTACACAATGCTGATACGAAGCTTAACTCGGAGACAACTGTTTCTTATATGTACTTTATTCACTACTACTATACAGTGGCGGTGCCAGCCATCTTATTATAAGATAATTGAGAAATAATTGGAGGTCTTCGTTTTTCGGGTCTTCGTTTTGTAGACACCTGGGTGTCTACAAAACGAAGACCCTTGAAAATTTCACAAACAGACGCCCAAAAAATTTCGTAATTTTAATTTTGTGACAGCCTGGCGTATTATCATCAAAATTAAAGAGAAAAAATAGGGGTCTTCGTTTTTGGGTCTTGGGTCTTCGTTTTATAGACAACCCCTTATTTTTCCATCCCAGCCATTTCCGGCCATCTACTAGTCTAGAAGTACCAATTTTTTAAAAACAAATCTCGTTTTGGGGGAGGGACATCCCCCTCCCGGCTCAGGCCTTCGGCTATAGTTACACCCATAAATACTAGGGCCCCGGCCCCCCCTAATTTTTCCATCCCAGCCATTTTCGGCCACTGCTACTGTCTAGAGGTACCAATTTTTTAAAAACAAATACGATAAACACAAGTTGGTTGACGTGGGGTCGCCTTCAAGGCATCGAAGGAAATCTCTTTCTTCGATAACTATGCTTGCACTCTTTGGGTGTGGTGGTCAGCCGCCACTGTGTTGACGGTAATTAGTATAAATGTAAACGCATACTAATTACCGTCAACAACCTTGTTGACGGTTTAGTCCATGATTAAATAAAGGTTATTTTGCGACCTAGTTCCCCTCACTTAATCATCGAGCACCACACTCCCATTTGCACTATCCCACCCCATTTTTACCACGGGTCAGTTACGGGGCTTCGTAGCCGTCTACCACAATACATCCATATAATTAATTTACTTCCGTAAGTATATTACCTAGCCTACATACTTCCATTATAATTAATTTACTTCCGTAATGTATCTTTACCTCGGGTATTCTTTACCTCACCTGGTGTTGGTAGCCTATTTAAGATGCAAACTGAGGCAAGTACAGGTAGGCCTACTTTCCAGAGGCAAAGACTAAAACAAATCCAAAGGCAAGCGTACTAATACGGTATTTTGGTGATTTTCGGATCCCCGAAGCCTACCTGAACACAATCAGAAAATCGGATTTATGCATATAGACCTATTAATAGGATTATCTGGCTTTCACAGTTCGAGATTCGAGAACCAATCCACATCAAGAAAAGTAAAAGTGCATACAGTACTGTATTTTTATGTATGACGTCACAGACTTAGTTTTAATTGACATTTTCTGGTCCCTGCTTCTTTAGCTTCGCCCTTGCTATACGCACGCACGCACAATACAGTACTGTACAACCATGGGATCAGAGGAGTCCATCACTCTCATTAGCTCCGTCCACTCCACTGCCTGCAAATTGTAAATTTATCATCACCAAAGATTATATTTTTGTGTATCACTAGTTTAGTTTTAGTTTTCTCATGGAAAAAAAAAGAATTGTAAAGCATCCCACGGCAGCACACCCCCCCCCCCCACACAATCCAAAGATCATTAACCCATCCAGTCCCCAATGCAAAATGTTCAAAGCAAAAAACCAGGGGCGGATCCAGATGTCCAAAAAGGGGAAGGGGACGCCGAAAGGGGGGTCCCCGAAAGAGGGGAATCCCCGAAAGTTTTAGACGCTCGAAAATAACATTTGAGGCGTTCTGGGCTATCGTTTTTTTCTTTTTCTTTCTTTTTTTCTTTTTTTTTTACCTCTCAAAAGGGGGGGGGGTCCGGGCGCCGGGGCCGGTCCGGCCCCTCCCCCACCTAAATCCGCCCCTGAAAACATCACTCAAGTCGTTGAAAATCACCTCTTTTTTAACTACACTACTACCACCCCCTCAATTACCGATAACCCACAAATCTAAACCAAGAGGACGATTCTGTGAAAAATTTGTAGGTGGTTGAGGAAATTGTTGTAAAAGGAAGAGAAAAGACCGAGTTACAACTGTTTAATGGGAAGTAAAAGAACTAATTAATGCAGAGTGGGCTCATCCAGCACTTTGACTGTTGCAGATTGGTCCACAGTGGCGAATCCTCCTAACAATAAGACGATCTGAGAGTTTTACTACTGACCTCATTAGAAATACCCTAATTATTCGAATAAATGCCCATCAATCAAAACACTGTTGACCTATAAACGGCACAACGCAAAGAAAATATAAACATTATGAATTGTTTTTAAATTTTTCAACATTTTTTCATTTTTCTTTGTATCTTTATTGCCGCTTTTATATTATCTTGTCTCAGTGGCGGCGCTACGGGTGTGGAGGGGGGGGGGCTAGTCCCCTACCCCCTTGGTAAGGCCTCCCTCTCCGGTCGGGGAAAAAAACCACAATTCGTTGGGGAGAAAAAGAAAATCAAAAAAATTATATGTATTTTGTACATTATTATTAAGACTCTAAAATCGATTAAATAAGCCTTTGAAACCCCTAAATTGTCATATTTTCGGGGGGCTATGTCCCCTGCACCACTTTCGAAAGGTTTTAGCGACACCCGTTCATCAGCCCCCCTCGTCGGGGACCTTGGACCCCCGTCGGGGAAATCCTGGCGCCGCTGTCTGTGTCTGCACGATTCTTTTACAAGCCTGTAGGCAGAGATTGATTTTCTCTGTTGGGTTTGAATGAATAAAATCAAGAAAATTAACAATGAGCACATAAAATGATAGCAATCACTCTTGGTATTGTTAATAGCGTTTATACACACTCTGATGGCACTTCGGGAACGTTATTGAAGGTTGTTTCTAAATCAAACCACAATAACAAAAAACAGAGGTAAAAAGAACTTTGTAAAACAATATAATTTATTTCACCAATGAGAGGATACAAAATTATACAATACAAACATTTAAGCACAGAAGTCTAATGCATGTTAATAATATATATATGTATATATATATAAAATGAGTACAAATGCACAAAGTAGAGTCGTATACGTTGACATAATAGTCATAAGATAATTTTTTATTTCGAATATTTCGAGCACGCCTGTGCTCTTCCTCAGCGATAACACGTATGATTAAAAAAGCTTTACAAGCTAGCAATAGGCGATAAACAATATAGCAGTGACTAAGATAAATTGTAAATGATATGTATAATTAGACCGGATTATAAAGGGCGGTAACAACAAAGAAAATAAAGATAAACGAAAGGGCTAATCAGCCGAATGAGATGTGTATAAGAGAATCTCACTAGCCTGAGCCAATGAAAATGAAATATAACAAGTTAAATAGTATATAAAGGATGAATAAAATGTATCAAGATGGATGAATGCATTGATTAATAAAAAGTGTAATCTGTGAGAATTCCTAAATCTTTATTTACGCCATTTTTGTGAGTATTTAATTTTAAGATCCATTTCAATTCGCAACAACGTCTGTCGGTGAGGGAATTAAAACCTGTACTTACTAAAATGAACTTAAGGTTAGAGATACAATGGTTGGCTTGGTTAAAATGCTTAGCTACAGGAAAGCCTAGTGTATTGTCTCTAATAGATTTTTTGATTATTGCATCTTAGTCTAAATTTGCAACCAGTTTCCCCGACGTATATAGTATCCATACATTTTTATTAATCAATGCATTCATCTATAAAAAACATCAACAAAAACCCTTGTCTGAAAGGTGCACACATGAAGCGTTAAACAATGAATAGAGGTAACCTCAGTTTAACGCGTGCAACAATGAGCGGTTGCTCTTGATTAAGATGAACTCTAAGAATTCAATTCAGCCAAAAGACAAGGACAGCAGCAATATAATGGACCTTTTGGTAGCAGTGAGAATAGCCCACAAAACAATTAAACTACCAACATTCAGTTCCAATTTCCATCTCATTTTTCTTTGTAGTAGCATCAGGGAGCAGTCATACTGGTAGTATTAAGCTCTGTCCACACTATCAAATTTTCTTTGACAAAAACAGATGTATACCCATATATAGTCATGATGTGCCTATATATGGTCATGATGTGATGTCATCATGACCATATTTAGGCATGTCACATATTTTTATCAAATACAATTTCATAGTCTGGACAGGGCTTTAGTATTTATTCCATCTCATTAATATGTAAACATTTATTGAAGTTTATTGTTTGTTTTCACAAACTTTACATAATTCTATTTATTTCTAATTCGAGTCTAATTTTAGGTTCCATATCTCAGCTGTAGTATACTGTTGTGAGAATAAAGATGTATCGTATCATGGAGGTATAATCATATCTTACAGAGCACCCAAAATATTTATATCTGTTGGATCAAATTTCCTCATTGGATTAATTGCAAACACATGTTGGCAATTAGGAAATTCTTTTAAGTTACCTGCCCTTACGAAAAGTTTAAGATCACAGTAATGTTAAAAATATACATTCTATTATAAAATTATATAATTTTATAAAATTACAAATTGCAGTTTATTTATATTTTGTCACAGAAGCATTTAATTGATTAGTATACAAAATAAAGTAAAAATATAGACTTGAAAGTGGTTGGTATGTACAAAATAGTAATGCCAAAATTTACATGTCAAAATACAAGATTTGTCCAATTTTGCATTTAATATCACCATCATACGGAATGTGAAAGACTTCAATATCATTCATATAATACACAAAGAATATTATTATTTTAGGAGCACCCAATTATTGCAGCACCAGGTATAGTACAAGGGTGGCTCAAGCTTTTTCCTGTCAGATGGACCAGAGTCCAACCCACCTCGGGCCACCTACTATTGTTAAAGATGTGGGGGTATTGGGTGTGCAAAAATGGACCATGGTTAGATCACAGCTTCAATTTTCACACCAATCATACACCTAGGGCCTGCAACTCAGCCTTATCATGGTTCATTTTCCTCTGCCAGATTTTATTGTGGCTCCCCGACGCCCAGCCAGCCCACCTGCTGGCGCCACCCCTGATGCAGCGTACATATTCTTCTACTTTTATGCAGACGCTTCTGACAGAAAAGGCACAATGCATTGCCGAGTCTCCCATCTTCAACCTTCGGTTGGGAGCTGTTTGTCAATCAAGCGTACAACATCATGACGTTTCATGGCCATCATACACTCCTTAAGATCCTCAACTGACCAGCCTTTCTCAGACCACCCATTCAGTATGCACATGGTGGGGCTAAGTTTCATGGACAGGTAGTTGATATAACGATCATAGCCAAGCTTTGAGGCTAGGCCACGCCAATCATTGGAAAGTGGGTGCAACGGGTCAAGGAGGACGCAGATCTCTGTCATCAGGTCAAATGGCAGGATAGGTGATGAGATTTCCTTGAAGACTCCGCTTAGAGACCGCAAGAAAACGGGCACCTTGTGCTTTACCTGAGCAGCAGGGGATTTTGGCGTTTCTGAAAGAAGCAATCAATGTCTTCAGATCATTTAAACATTTATGTAACGACCATCATTGTTTTGAATATGTATGAAAATAACTAAAACACTGAAAAAAATGTTTTTACGAAATAGTACTAATTATGAGAAAAAACATAAAATAAAATTTGATAATGACAAAAATACAAATGGATCCATCATTAATGTGCCATGGATCGGGAATTGTAAACTACTAGGCATATCAGATATCCAACACTCAAGTACAATTTTTATACACTAAAACCTAGGAGATAGAAGTTTTTTATTAATACTTATTAACAACAATAAACAAAAACAATATATCTTAGTACGAGTAGAAATTGAGGTTTGTACAATATTACCTTGCATTGCTCCGGATTCCCCAAACAAGCGTTGGAACCGTTTAGTCTTCATCCGCCGATGGTTCCCACAAGGAACACTCTTTGCTTTCAGGCATTTCTTGAGTTCATGGAAGTGATTCTTCTCCCTGTCACAAGCACTACACAAGATACAAAGGCCAAAGTCAATGCGTTTCATCCAGGTATGCCCGAGGTTTAGCAGGTTATTCTCCAAAAGTGCTAGCACCTGTAATTTAAAATATTCAATTTTAAAAAAATTGTCAGAAAACATTCTCATTTAAACATATGGAGGGTGTCACAATATTAGAATATTTCATTTTACTTTACAGTACTGTTAACTAAATCGTAAACTAATGAATATGCATAGGATGTATGACTCACGGTAAATGGTCTGTGAATGGAAATAAGTGACATGAATATTAATGACATATAAGGCAAAGTGTCAGAATATATTTTGTGCAGTTGTGTAAAAGTATGCAATTATGTTATCAAATGGGTTTTAGTAAAGAGGTATTTAGCCAGGTGCTGAACATAAAGGAAAGATGTGGACTGAGGAGTGTCAGCTAAAGGACACATATCAGTCAAGAAACATTTTAAGATAAAAGTACAAGGCTTGTTAGCTTAAAGTAATTATATGCAAGTGATAGCTGAATTAAGAGAGCATCATAGTAATTTTGGAATCAAGAATTAAAGTAAAGAATTGACCATGAGTACTGTTAATAGTTGATAAATCAGAATATCTACCTATTGGCATATATAGGGTAGTAGTACTAATTGTGCATGTATTTTGATGTTATATGAATACTTACCTTCAATATATATATACATATATAAATATATGCTATGTATATTAATTGTAAAGAAACATTGTAAAATAATTAGCATACCATTCTAGATAAAAGATAAATGTTATGTTCATTTATAGATGGTCAGAGCATGTAGAGCCAAGTAGCCTATACCCAGACTTACGTACTACCAAATATACTAAAGTGATACTGCAGACTTAGGGAAAAAGCCCTAGCAGTTCAAAAGAATTCGTACACGAATTATACTGCAATTGCATTTTTACAGTGGTAAATGATTCAAAAAGTAAACATAACAGTTAACTACAGTATTTAATTATTTTATACATTATATATTTGTTCTGTCTCATTTGCAGTCATGTCTTCAAAAATTAAGCTCGTTGTGTATGCGTTCTTCAGATGCGCAGCTGCCGTCGCTGCTACTTACATGGCTGTGCGGCTCTGCGGACAATTTTTAAAATTATATTTTAATTTTTTCAATTTTTAGGATAGGTTGTTTTTGCTAGTTTTTACTTTCAGAGAACAGATACATTTATTTCATGTATGTTCCCTTAAATCACAAAAACTTTGTACAGCAATTTAGTTTGCTTTTTGTTTATTCTGTCTCTCTGATCTTTGGTATGTTGTTATTTTTGTTTGTAATGTTTGACCAATAGATGAAGTGAAAAATGTTGCGACAGAGGGAATGTTCTGGTTCTTTTTAATGAATTTACAGTACTTCACCAATCAAATCTTTATCAGATTTAATCCGCTATTACTGAATATAAAGGAATAAAATAAGTAATTAAGATAAATATACAGCCACAAAGAACATACATTTCAAAGATATTGATGTTAAAGAGGCTTAACCCTTAAGATGATAAAAAACTTACCACTTTGCAAACATCAGGGCAAGGCTCAACATCATCTTCCTCTTCCTCTTCATCATCACTTCCAACAGATTTAGCCCGCACAATGGCTACCTACAGGCAACAAAGACATTTGTGTATTTTAAAATTAAAATTTCCATTTTTTCAGAACCAGTAAATTTGCTTCAGCTTTTGACATTGATTTGTGGTTGAATATTTATGAAACAGTTTTTTATTGCTTTTGTTCTGCTGTTTTTCATGTCATCCTAAACCTTTAAGAGTAATCATAACAATACGTAGATTATAATGATAATTTACCTACACATATGCAGCTATCATATTATTTGAGAAAAATAATACAAATGGGTGCTGTAGAAGCGGTTTGGTGCAGCGGGAACGGTTTGGTTTCCCAACCTCGAGGTCGGGGTTTTAATCCCTCGCTGTGCATTTCGCTTGTGTCCTTGAGCAAGACACTTTATCTGCATTGCTTTTCTCCACCCAGGAGTATAAATGGGTACATGGTGGGGTTGCCTGCTCCTGTGCTGATTACCAGCAGCAACCCTTAGCATGTGGACCCAATAAACAGGGAAAGGAACTGCGCTTTATAACCGCAAGGAAGAAGCGCATTATAAATTACCTTACCAGTACCAGTAAGTTATAAATGCTAATTACCATTGTAACCATCATATGGTTGGGACATCAATATTAAGTGAATAAGTTCAGAGTCCAGATGGCCAGTATTTGGTTGTTTTTTGTTTCGTTTGAAACATATTTTTGTGAAAACCTGAATAAATTAATTTGTTAATCATTGTTAATTCAAATTATTATCATCACAACCATCACTATCACTACCTGGATGCAAGATCTCTTCTGAGGCAGGATCCTCAGGATCATGTCATGATCTTCATCCACATAAAGGTTGGCCTGTTGGTAGAAGAGCCTAGGTTCATAGCCTCCCTGATGCTGTGACCACTGCACAAGCCTCAAAATGAGTCGGTAGAAGAGACCTTCAGGCAAAAACCCATTGAAGTCAATGTACAGGATGACCACTGATTTGGACTTTATCAGCGGGTCCATGCACACCATCTCATCTTCTTGCTTCTTTAGCAGGGATGGTACGTAGAAGAGACGATTCCCTTCCTCGTGTGATCCGACAACGGCTGGCATCTAACAGAAAGAAAAATAATCATTTATTATACCATAATGTGCATGGTACCAGTAAAATGATCTGAAAAGGCTTATAAAGTATCTGAAATAGATAAAGATTAAACAGACCAATCAGAGCATCTGTACCTCAGAAGATTGTGCCTTGACACAAAGCAAGTCAAACTTCTGCATCAGCTGTAACAAGCCTTCTAACTGGGCAAGGAAGTCATGCCACATGTGTCGGATCAGTCTCTCTTCCAGGAGTCCTTCTTCATCAAGTCTTGCCCATGAACTTCTGAATTTGGCCCACTTAAATATAAAGAAAAATTATTACATTCTTTAAAAAATTAATATAATAATAATAATATAATTATATATTATTAGTATACATAATATTATTAAAAATTATTAAAAGAAAACATTGAAAAGAATTGTCATACTTGCTCTGATGGATCCTTGACTGTGATCACTCTCCTAAAGATACATATCAACCATATGTCGAAATACATTAAATTACACCAGTTACATCAATAATTCAGTCTACTGCCTAATACCAATTAATTTTGAAATTCTTCATGCAAATTATTATATTTGTACTTTACCTGTCTCTTATACACATCTAGATGTGTATAAGAGACAGTATATATATATAGGAGCTTAGAAGTATCCATAGGTGTAAACTAAAACAATGAAGAGGGTTAAAAACAGTACCTTAATGTATGTATGTATATATATACTACTAGCTCCAACTACAAATGCTCATAAAAATTAATTTTATTTACTAGAGTTTGCAAAATACTGTAATATAAAATTTAAAAAAAAATAAATTACTTAAATTTAACAAAATTGCACCACATCCTTAAATAATTAAGGTTTCTAAAAACACCAGATCAACCATCAAACAGCTATAAGATGTAACCACCTGTGGTATGCAAGCAATAAAATACCAACCACCTGTGGCAAACAAGGTGTACCATAACCACCTGTGGTAACCAATTTGTAACATAACCACCTGTGGTATCCAATAGAGCAGGGGTGGGCATAAAAATCGGTTGGAGGGCCAAAGACAATTTCTGATCCAACACCGTGGGCCGCACCCAAACTTTGATCTTTCCAGTACGCTTCCAAAAACCTCCAAGCACTGCTTATACACCACTTTATTCCCAGTTTTAATATTACTTTCTACATATTATAGGTGTCAGGCCATAAAAAACAAGGTGTTTCCTAGCCAAGGTAGCTTGATGGCCCGCACACGTAGGGTTTTAAATTCACATTCATGGGGCCGCAAAAAAATCTCTGTCGGGCCGGGCTGTGCTGGCAATAAATGGGTAACATAAGAATCACCTTCAAAATAATGAGTAAACCTCCAGCCTTAACCAAGTTGTGAAACATTTACCTAGCAAACAACCTACTGCTACTTGCCTCTGTGAAGTTGATTGAGTGCGTTTGTTTGTTGCGCAACTGCTCAACCTCATGCAAGAAGTCCAGCCACTTAATGGGGATTCTCTCTCCCATGTAGTGCTCTAACTTAGCGACCTCGGTGATGTGGTCCCTCAAGTGAATAACAGCTTGATCCAAGGGTGACCTAAGGCTGTTGTCAATTGCGTAGTACTTGCTCACTACATGGCCCTCATATGGTGTCCCTCTTAAAGCCTTCTTAATAACTGCAAACTTCTCTTCTGCCTGTGAATCAAATAGAATATAGAAGAAAACAACATAATACACAGTACCCAAACAAATCAATAGTACTTTGTATTTGTATGTTAATAAGTAAATACTCACTAGCGCCTGTCTCTCTTCCGCATTTCCTGGTAAGCTTTCTCTGTGTGTGCCAGCAATGAACACTGGTGGTGAGAACTGCTCCTGGTTTGCCACCGATGGGTTTTCGGTGGTATTTGAGTAGATTGACCGCAACCAGAAAATTATAAATTCCAAGTTGCTCATATGATGTTCGAAAAATGAAACCTATAGAAATGATAATTTTAAAACCTTTTTTATTTAATTAACTTAATTGGAAAAGTTGGTTTTATTTCTTTATATTTTCATACTTCAAAAATCATTCACTCACAATCAGTAACCTCAGGTCACTCAATAATTATGTTTCATGAAATATTTTTGTAATACAGTCGAGTCTGCCTAAGTCGAATCTAATGGGACGGGCATAAAAAGTTCAAGTTATACAGATTTTGACGAAAAAAAAAAAATTAACATAGAACAATACTATGTGTACTCAATTCCCACAAAATCGAATTTCACGCAAAACCGAACATTTTCGTAAGTCCCAAATTCCTATTCTTCTTTTAATAAAATACTTTCCGAAAACATGAACTCCCTATTCTGAATCTCAGATGATTTGTCCAATTCAGGACGGTAAAACTCACTCAAAAAACCAGACGATAGTTTAATAGACATCGTTTAATGACAAGCATGCCAGACGCTGTGAAAACGAGACGCTTAGCTGTACTTGCATTGCCATGGAGATTATCTGTTAATTAACATGACACACCAGTAGACGTTTTGTTGGTTAATTATGAAGTGAAATCTACACATTCCAATGTTTTAATAAGTGTATATTCTTGCTTTTAATCCTTAAAAACCATTTGGAATCAACCTGAAATAAAGACGGAACTCAACGAAGCAAGTTCCTACTGGTTACTCTTTCAGTAAACGCCTAATTCAAATTCGTTAGATTCGTCGGTGTAAATATCAAATGCACCTCATTCATTCTTTAAAACCAAGACGCTTTTCAAAACATGTTGCTAATTTGATTACGGAGGAAATTTGCAGAGAACAAAATATAATTTGTTAGGTTTATTTAGATTTGACTCTAAAATAATACCATGAGGGTTTCTTGTTTGTTTTGTTTTATAAATTTGTTTAATTAAAACATTCTTAAATACACCGAGCTTGTTACTGTCACGCACTATGAAACTTTGGGCGATCTGACGTCTTCACAGCCGAAGCACATGTCTAGTCTGCAAAACAACCCACGAAAATGGACCAATTGGCGGGCAGGCAGAGTTTTTGGGGGCGCGACCTGTTTTGTTTACAACTAGACTGCCGATCAGCAAGTGTCATTGCCCAACGAAGAATGTGTGCTTGGAAAAACATAATCAGACCTAAAAAAATGCAAGCAAAAGCAATATAAAAGTCGCATCAATTTATTGGTAATAATTAAATTTGCTGAGCAGTAGGCCTACAGCAAGACAACAGGTACTGTACGTATTACTAAATAATGTGTTAAATTTGCGTAGGTTAGGCAGTCATAAGAATCAGGGCCGCTAGGCCCCAACTACAACAATCTTGTTCGAAATGGGTTCAATACAATTTTTACAAACCGACCTGGACGAAAAACTGAACATTGGAGGCGGTCCGGAGGGATGTCTGTATAGTGAGAGTAGACTGCAACATACGACATACGATCGTGTGAGCCAAGTTCCACAGCGCACTGTCCGAGATGTTATTTTTGACATGGCTAACTTGTTGCCCTACTTTCATTTCATTTATTCGTCTCAAAAAATACAATTCACATAAAATATCATACACAAAAAAGACGAAGAGACAGGAAATCCAAAAAGAGAACTAAATCAACTGTCAAGTGGATTACCTCAACAAGAATTGAACTTATTTTCCCACGGCTGTGTATTTTTCCCACATTCGCTACTAAATTTAAAACTTCGACTTGTGTGGTTGAAATTACTATAAAATCGGACTATACGGACCGGAAAATTAAGTTGATATAGCCGAAATTCGACTTAGAAAAATTTGAATGAGGAAAGAATTGGGACTTTTTCAAAAATTTGACTGACGCGAATTTTCGACTTAAACAGAGTCGACTATGGCGGACTCGACTGTACTTCTTTTATTAAAGTTTGAATATTATACATATATGTATGAAGACTAACGACCCTTGATGGATTATTTAGCAAAAAGCCAATTAAATTGAAATTGAAGATTTAAAGATAAAAATACCTTTCCATCCTCTCGCTTATATATCTGTACTTTAGCAGGTGCGTGGAGGTCATTGCAAAGATTGAAACAAATGATGTAGAGAGCACGGGATACTAAGAACACCTGAAAATACATACACACTTTTTATCTGTTCATTTTCATTCATGATTCATGTTGAAAATTCAATCTTTCAAAGAATGCTATAGCTCAAGTTTATATAGATGTGTCAGGGTAATGGAAATATAATAAGTGGTCTAATATATATTTGTATAACTTAAAAAAAATAAACAAAATTTATTTTGACATTAACAAAACATACTTAGGCACATGAACACATTGTTTCTTTTTTTTATTCATATCAAAAATGCAAAAGTATTAGAATACAAAATGGAAATCTTCAATGCTCTTTAAAGTCAATAAATTAAAAAAACCAAAATAAATTAAAAAAAAAAAATTCTTGCTGAAGTTTAAAATTGCTTTGATTTTCTGGCAACCATACCTGGTGAGTTATATAGTAGAGATCCTGTCCAGCAAAGTCCCAGATACTCAGAGTCAAGTCATCAAGTGTCTCCTCCAGCCCTTCATTTTCTCCCCGTCTTTCTTTATCTTGGAGAATTTGTAAGACAATTTGAACGACCTCTTCAGGAACATCAGGTGTTGTTGGTGAAGCTGAATCATCTTGTGATGAGCTCCGCTTTGGAGCATCTACCTCATCGTCTGAGGCTGGTACATCTGTCAAAGTACAAAAAAGTGTAAAAAACAGTACAATTTCGTTAAATTATATTTACAAGCTTTCTTTAATGTCCAATCTATATTTAATACATATATTTAGTACAATCTACCCCAATCTACCCTCCCTCCCACACATCATTTATCCACATCCCTATTATCCCATTATCCCTATTACTCAACCATCCATCCATACGTCCATCCATCTACCCCACCCCCATCTGTCTGTCTGCTAAAACAAATAATTTCATAGGATCAAATGATTTGATAAAAAGTTTACTGGAATACAAACGAAAAAGTTTAACAATACCTTCAGATGCTGTCCTCTGGTCATGTGATTGCACAAGCGTATCCGGTGATGTTTTTGTTGACTGGGTAACAACTGGTACTTTTACACTTTCAAGTGTCTGGATTTCAATTTTCATTGATGGCTGCATGGTAGAGAAATTAAAAATACAAATTGAAATGCCATCCTTCACCAATATACTAAACGCACATAAAATACATATCGATTTTGAATCATGCATTTGGCAATTATGTTTTTGTTTTTTTTTCTTTTTATGTGATGTCCAGAAAAGGTGAAACCTATCATGTGACTTTTATAAGGTAAATGTCTGCATTTAAAGCTGGAAATACAATGTGCTCATGGTTGTTAGCTGATGTGATTCTATGGAGAATGCAACGAGAACACAAAAAGGATTATTCTAAAAATTATCAGATAGCAGAAGATATTAAAGAAGTTTAAAACCATTTGGTGTACGTTATACCATGATCAAGGAGGTTACATATCGTTACAAAATGTGTTTACTCAAGATTGAACTATTATTAATCATACAAACCCGAGATTCTGGTTTTTCATGTTTCTTCTGCAGAAGCTTTACTGCAATCTGTTCTGCAACAGCTCTCAGATACTGCTGCCTTGCTTCACTTATTGTCCCTTTAAATAAAATTTTAAAATTCAGTCAGAATTAATTCAGTGCTTAGTACAATTCAACCTCGAGTTGAGGGTTTCAATCTTTTGCTGTGCATTTCGCTTGCATTCTTGAGCAAGCCACTTTATCTACATTGCTTCAGTCTACCCAGCTGTCTCAATGGATACCAGCAAATTGCTAAGAGTAACCTGTGGTGAACCAGAATCACTCGCTCATCTGCTTCACGCTACTGGAAACTGGGGATAAGTTCCAGCCTTACGGGCCCCAGTGGCTCAGCAAGGATTTACTTTACTTAGTACAATTAATACTATTATAAATGTGAACAATCCATGGTCAACCTACTTGATTTCTTACTCTTTTATGTTAAACTAATAATGTTTTCAAACTGAGTACTTATGGTTTATTTTAAATAAACCAGGGGTATTGATTTAGATACCTTCAGGTGGTTTTGGTTGTGGTTTCCAGTTGGTGGTATGCTTAACACTGAGTGTGCATGACAATGACGCTTCAATGCCATCAGTAACTTCTTCAGTAGCATCAAATCTAAGCAAAAAGAAATTAAACATGAAAATAATTTCGAAATAATCTTTCAAAAATAATATTTGGAGATTCAGCAGGCAGTGATCTCTTTTGACACAAGTACAGTACTTTCAACAGGCTATCCAAAATAAACTTGAAACAAATCCACCATAAAGAAAAGTTAAGACTTACTCTTGTTCTGTAAGGGCTTTGGTGAGACTGGTTTTACCAACACGCTCTGGTCCAACAAGCATTAGGCGTGTTTGGTAGATGGGTTTGCTGCCCTCTTGTATTGCATCAATAAATGCATTATTAGCCTCCAGACCTCTTGCTAGCACTTCAATAGGGACTTGACCTGTATTAATGAATGGATAGCCTAGAATTACTTGTTTTACAGAATTGGTGACGCTAAATTGCTGAGATGTTAAGGCAGTGGCGCCTCAACCTACAGCCATAATATCAGCGCTGGTTCAAATGACACGTTCATAGATGGTTCTGGAAAAAGTCTTCTTGAATAGGACTGCAGGCCCGGTGTACACAATTGGCTCAAGTGCCCTATAAAGAAGTCCATACAGACCCTGTTGTGGACAGACGAGAGTAGCTGGTACTGGTTTACCGGCCAGCTCAGACACAAAGAGACCCTTAGGCGAGGTCGTCCACACTTTGAGCACTCTGAACTCTATGAAATAGTACTATATAAATGATGTCATGTACGTACTATTTTTTTACCTTTTACACTAGAACCCCAACTTTAGGACGCCCCCTATTAAGGAGACACTATTTCGGCACTAAATGAGACAAAATATATCTTTTAATATTACGGCCAACCTCTATTCAGGGGACACCCTTATTAAGGAGACACCATTTTGATCACTAAATGAGAGAAAGTATATCTTTTAATATTACTGCCAACCTCTATTCAAGAGACAATCCTATTAAGGGGACACTTTTTTTGTTCCAAAGGTTAATAGGAATTCTACTGTATTTTGGTTTTTCTCAGTTTAAAATTTACTTGTTAGGGTGATTTAGTGTAGACACTGTGCTGTCATCCCAGCTCAAAAGGATCCTGAAAATCATTGGATAGCGGCACTAAACTTTCCTGATCTGGTCAAGTTTTGCCTAGTGCAAGACAATCACTGTAAAATACACCGATGGTACACCATGAAAATTTAAAGACATATTTCCAGTGAAGTTAACATGCACATGAGACATACTGCACACAGGACCAATGGCTCAAACATCTGAATACCATACAATATTCATTTGAAAAATTATGCTTTGTATTGCAATTTAAAAATGAGCATACAATATGCTCATTCCTGATGATGACATAATTAATGTCGAAAAATTGAATCCCAACACGATGGTGTGTATTACAATTCGCTCATGTCATGCATAGTATATGCATCTGTATACATTATTAAAGTTATTCTCTTGCAAAGTGTTGCTACTTACCTCCTTTAACATCCACTACTCTGTCTCCGTAACGAATAATAAGCTCCTCCTTAAGCTTTAAAGCATTGGATGGATATCTAGTATAAAAATACACCTCTTCAATGCTTTCCCGCTTAAACTTGTTCATGAAACGGTGTATGGCATCGAGCATGATAAGCGCGCATTGGCGCTGCCCGATTTCTGTATATCGGTTGTATATTAATGGTAGTACAATTGATTTTAATCCAGCTTTTTCAGCTGTCATCAGACAGTCAATTGTACAGGTTTCAATCTGGAGACTCTGTTGGGTGTAATCTGTGGCTTCATCGTCATTTCCTCGCACATGGTAGAGATGCTGAAATGGAAGCTTTCCTGCTGATGTTATAACCAGATTCAGCTGGTGTCCCTTGTGACTTTCAAAGGCTTTCTGAATTACATCTGTTGGCAGAGCAGCTTAAAAAAGACAAGAAAATATAATGTATACATTTATTTTTCTTACATTTCCAACATTTAACTGCAAAATTTTACATTATTTTAATTGTCATTATTTATTCATCATTTGTTATCTATTCATGAAAATAAAAAAAAAATAAAAAAATAAAATTTCTACTCTATTGATAATAGCAGGGCCATATCCAAGAAAGTCATTGAGGAAGAGGGGGGAGGGAGGTGAAGGAGTTTGTAGAGGGATTGTTGAAGAGATGAATATATTTAATTGACTTTGATTAAATTTGTTCCAGTTGTGAAAGTTTGCAGGGCAGCTAAACAATACAGTAAATTTGAGGTACACCACGTAAGTAATTCCAAGAAGAACTGATGTGTTGAGGGTACCACCAATTTGTATTTCTTTTTTTATTGTAATCTTTTAATCTTTTGAATATCTTTCAAAATTGCATAAGACCTTCAAATTTGTCTGCTTTTTTTGTGTATATGTAATACTACAACAATTACTACTACAACTACTACTACTACTACTACTACTACTACTACTACTAATAATAATAATAATAATAATAATAGTAATAATAACAATAATAACAACAATAATAATAATAATAATAATAATAACAATAATAATTTTTTATGGATTTTATACTGTAAACAATATTTTGACAACTTAGTTTGCAATGAAATTTTGTTGTAAATATTTAAAATTTTCATTATGAATAAATTTGACATGTTCCTTATTTATTATTTTTTCTCATTCTAGACAGCGCCACCAACGAGCAAGTTCATTACGAGACAAAATAAGGGACTTGCAAAACACTGCATGCAGGTACCCGGATGCCATAAGAATGACAATCTTATATTCCGTATTTAGATAAATGGGCGGACCGAAATAAACAATTTCAACCAATCACTATGCTCTAATTTTCAAACCCACAAACATGTACAGAAACCGAGTCACGTCTTGCGTCGACTTGTTAGGCATGGCTAAAAAATAGCCTACCTAATTAAGGGGACCAAAAATATAAATACACCGTCTGACAAGTGTGCAATGGCAAAGACGAATTAAGAATACGCTAGATGGCCCATTACAAATGTTACAGCACAACTTTCCGGGAGGATGGCCTACTAGGCCTTTGAGTCTAGTACTTACTATCTTGTAGTAGTGAGGCCTTGGCCTACTTTTAAGTTCTTACTTAATATTACAGTACCTTTTAACAATGTTCTACAGTACCCTAGGCAAAATTCAAAACTCAAATTCAAATGACATTTATTCAATCAGGCCTAAATCTGCTTAGCGGTGAGTAGGGTTATCTGCAATCAGTTACTACACTGCTACAGTTATTAGTCTATTACGTCGCTCAGCCTGTCTCTTATACACATCTAGATGTGTATAAGAGACAGGTTATAACCAGATTCAGCTGGTGTCCCTTGTGACTTTCAAAGGCTTTCTGAATTACATCTGTTGGCAGAGCAGCTTAAAAAAAGACAAGAAAATATAATGTATACATTTATTTTTCTTACATTTCCAACATTTAACTGCAAAATTTTACATTATTTTAATTGTCATTATTTATTCATCATTTGTTATCTATTCATGAAAAAAAAAAAAGAAAAAAAAAAAAATTTCTACTCTATTGATAATAGCAGGGCCATATCCAGGAAAGTCATTGAGAAAGAACGGGGAGGGAGGTGAAGGAGTTTGTAGAGGGATTGTTGAAGAGATGAATATATTTAATTGACTTTGATTAAATTTGTTCCAGTTGTGAAAGTTTGCAGGGCAGCTAAACAATACAGTAAATTTGAGGTACACCACGTAAGTAATTCCAAGAAGAACTGATGTGTTGAGGGTACCACCAATTTGTATTTCTTTTTTTATTGTAATCTTTTAATCTTTTGAATATCTTTCAAAATTGCATAAGACCTTCAAATTTGTTTGCTTTTTTTGTGTATATGTAATATTACTACAACTACTAATACTACTACTACTACTACTACTACTACTACTACTACTACTACTACTACTAATAATAATAATAATAATAATAATAATAATAATAACAATAATAATTTTTTATGGATTTTATACTGTAAACAATATTTTGACAACTTAGTTTGCAATGAAATTTTGTTGTAAATATTTAAAATTTTCATTATGAATAAATTTGACATGCCACAAGTTCCTTATTTATTATTTTTTCTCATTCTAGACAGCGCCACCAACGAGCAAGTTCATTATGAGACAAAATAAGGGACTTGCAAAACACTGCATGCAGGTACCCAGATGCCATAAGAATGACAATCTTATATTCCGTATTTAGATAAATGGGCGGACCGAAATAAACAATTTCAACCAATCACTATGCTCTAATTTTCAAACCCACAAACATGTACAGAAACCGAGTCACATCTTGTGTCGACTCGTTAGGCATGGCTAAAAAATAGCCTCCCTAATTAAGGGGACCAAAAATATAAATACACCGTCTGACAAGTGTGCAATGGCAAAGACGAATTAAAATTACGCTAGATGGCCCATTACAATGGTTAATGGTTAATGGTTATTAATTTATAGAGCGCAAAATACAAAAAGTCTCTAAGCGCTATCAGGCAAGTGTAAAGATGAAACGGAAACCAAAACCACAAAATAAAAAGAAGTGAAATTTGAATACCATGCCAGCACCCAAACCGAAGTATGGGGATACGCCCTCATCGCTGGCTAGGGTTCAATCTAATTGAACTACAGTCAGCACCTGTTGAGTCTCGGCCATCTCGGATTCGGGCGCCTCCTATCCTAGTTAAGGCTATAAAAGCTAGTTGGCATGGAAATAGAAAAAAAAAAAATTAAAGGGATGAGAATAAGTGGGTCTTAAGTCGTTCTTTGAAAATGGTGACAGAAGGTGACTCACGAATAAATAAAGGTAACAAGTTCCACAACTTGGGCCCAGCAACCATAAACAAATGTAACAGCACAACTTTCCGGGAGGATGGCCTACTAGGCCTTTGAGTCTAGTACTTGCTACCTTGTAGTAGTGAGGCCTGGGCTACTTTTAAGTTCTTACTTAATATTAAAGTACCTTTTAACAATGTTCGACAGTACCCTAGGCAAAATTCAAAACTCAAATTCAAATGACATTTATTCAATCAGGCCTAAATCTGCTTAGCGGTGAGTAGGGTTATCTGCAATCAGTTACTACAGTACTACGATTATCAGTCCATTACGTCGCTCAGCAGGCCAAGAACTAAAATTTATTAACTAAATTAATTCAAGTAGGTACGCAAAAGGCAGCTGAGCTGCCTAGCTTAGTTGTTGAAACACCGCACTTCTTAATTCAAAAATTACCAAGATTAATTAATATGCACGAAGTAAGCCAATCATGTGGCTAACAAAGTCAGTCATACATACAATATCACACATTGAATTTGATGTGTTAAATCGTACGCATGAATGATCAGGCAGTGTTTGCCCAGGCCCTAATCCGTAAAAAAAGAAATCGAGTATGGGACACCAATTAATTTAGGTATGACATGCAACTAAGCGCAATAATGAGCGAGTAACCCAAAATTAAGGCCTGGAACCCAGGCTATGAATAAAGGTAGCTTGATAACACAGGCAAAGTTGTTAAATATAATATATGTAGTAAATATAACTCCCTAAAGTTGGATATTTTACACGTACCAATATACTGATCAACAATAATTTCACGATTGACGATATTGATCAACAGTAGAGTATCAAAATTTGATGGATCGTGGTCTTCCTTGCCTCTATTTGTGATAAATAGTAACATTTTTTCAGGCTAGCCTGAGGAACATGACGTGGGAAATCTAAATCAATTCCAACCGGCATTATCGTCTCAGCTGCTTGTTACTGTCATAAAAATAGCATAGGCCTACTACGTGGATCACTAAATTGATTCATAATAAATCTATAACGTCTTCAGATCACTACTCTCATCTTAAGATTATATACTCTGGTGAGTCTGTTAATTGACAAAATTATTGTCATCTTAATTTTACTCACCATATTGACTATACAGTATTGCTAAAAATATATCAAAAACAGCTGGTGTTATTTCAAAACTGAAATATTTTCTACCTAATATATTAATTACTATTTACAAATCACTACTTCTTCCTCACTTAAATTATGCAATAACTTCTTGGAAATCTGCAAATATTACCCATCTCCAGAGGCTATTTAAACTACAAAAGAAAACACTAAGAGCAGCATGCAAAACATACTATGTTCACCCCTCACTTCCTCTTTTTGTTTATACAAAAACACTTAACATTTTTTATCTTTTTGATAAAAATATTGCAATGTTTACGTATAATTATAAAAATGGAAGTACACCAATTAGTTTTGAGGAGTTCTTCCAAACTACAGAATCTATGCATAATCACAATACCCAAAACAAAGATAGTTTGTATATCCCTAGAAAGCGAACACGTCACCGCCCAACAGAGTATTTCATACACAGGTTCTAAACTCTGGAACGAATTACCAGAAGATATATGGAAAAGTGAAAATAAATACAATTTTAAAGTAAAACTAAATGATTATTTTATTAATAAATACAGAGCAACATGTAATGTTTGCTGGATAAATGCTATTTACGTAATAACACGCTTTCGTAACGTGAATCAACATGAAATCTTTTTTCTTTTTTAGGCATGAGGTTTGAAATTTAATTACAATACTTACTTTGATTTTATATATGCCTATATGTATTTATATTTCTTTTTAGGATACATAATCTAAAGCATAACTATGCTTGCTTTATTATTTTTTTCATTTTTTTCTATAACTGTTCTTTAATATTACTGTGCTATTGCATGTCTTGAAGAAATGTAATAGAGAATTGAAAATTGAAAAAAAAAAAATACTAAAGTGATTCTTACCTTCAATAAGGATTTTTGCAGTTAATCCAGAATAAGCAACTGTGAAATTTGCCGAAGGATTCACAAGAATATCTGCAGGCTGTTTCTTTGGGTCACCGCTAGCAACAATTAGGCGTGCTTTCGTGTCAGGATATATGTATTCGCACATTAACCGAGTTGGCATTTGATATGCTCTCACTGTTTAAAAATCATTAAAAAAGTTTTATTAAAAACTAAATTCATACATACACATATGAATTTAATCAAATGAATTTTTCTGTTAATTGCTTTAGTGATAAATATTTAATATTATTATCTATCATGTATCAAAATTCAGTTTCTTTCATTCTTACTTCCTTCTATTTTTACCTCTGGAAAGATTATGTTTGTCTGTCATTAGCAGGATTATGCAAAAACTAATAAACAGATCAATGAATGGGGTGAACAGATCAAAGGTCAAAAACATTCCAAAAAATCATATACTACCTTTTCTTTCTTTGACTCCAGTTTGCAAAGCCTGCTGGAATCTCAATGCCTTCTGTTTGATCATGTCAATAAATATTACTTCTTTTATACTTGATCTACTGGACATGTGTTCCAAATAATCAAGAACTGTTGAGACAATGATGTCTGCACAGATCTGTGCAATAGTGGCACTTTTCCCAAGGCCAAAATGCCAGAAGGAGCTGTACAAGAGTGGGATAGTAATAGACACACAATTGAGAGGCTTTTCACATCGTTGTAGTGAATGGATGACATTCTGTGTTAGGATGGACTGCCATTTATTGTTATCATCAATTCCTGGGATGCCAATGTGGAAGATATATTTGCATTTGAGATCTCCCCCATCAGTGGTTATGACGTTATTATCCTGCCTTGAACTTCGCAAGATTGCTAATTTGTCAGAAAATTCATTCCTTGCCTGGTCTCCAGCTTAACACAAAAACAGACAAGACAATATCAATATTAAATACAATTTTAAATGTACTGTGTCTAGTTCTGTCAATGAAATACTTTTAATGCTCCCACTGGTTTCTGCATAATACTCATTTTCACAAAATTCATTGTTACACTAACTGATATCAAGCTTTAAATGCAAGGCTCATCAAAGCAAAGCTTGGAATTTAAAGCTTAATTAATTTCACCCATGAGCAGCTTATCTCATTTGGCTAATCTGGTGGTAGCCACCATGTGTGTGCTGAACCGCGGAGATCTCTAGGTCCCCGGTTCAATTCTCATCACTGCCTCTCCTTGCGTTTCAGCTAGAGGGCTGAAATACAAGTTACAAGATCGCACCGTCTTTCGAATGAGACGTTTAAGTGCATTTATGGCCCATGTGCACATTAAAGAAAGCAGTACACTTCGGAAAGAATAAGGGATTGTCTCCCGGTGTACTGTCCAATCACCACCAGAAGGACCCCACTGAAAATAAGTCTTCTTCTAGATTTTTGTGGGCCATCCTTGGTGTTAACACCGAATAAATCCAATCCAATCGAAACAGAACATTGGGAAAAGAATTGGCTAGTTTCTGTCTGTTTTATATACAAAGTGTACCCCTCCTACCTTTAGATGTTGACAACTACACATATGTACATACAGGGATTGGGAAAAATATTAAACACAAGAGGACTGTTCTTCACATGTGGAAAGTTGGTAATTTGGAATTATGAAATTGATAACACCAAAGAGGACTTATTGTCAGATTTTTACCATTCTGTAATGCACCGATTCCCAAGCCAAAGCCAACAATGCCAAAATCCCTGTCAAAAGTCGTCACAACTATTGCATCTGTGTTTTGATAGAAGATATCATCATAAACAACTGACAACGAAACATTGTATAGTTGGCATGTGTGGTACCTTTTTGGCACTTCCGGTGATTCTGTCAAATTAAAATAAAATATTCAAACATTTATTTCATCATACTCATCTATTCAAGGCATAGATGAAGACCAACCTAGAAGTTAAACTTGCCTCGGTTGGCCCTTTGCCATAATTAAAAAAAAAAAAAAAAAAAACAATCGGTGGCCATCTTGGATTTGAAGGTCAAAACTTTATTGATTCATCAATCCAGTATATGAATTCCTGGATGCCTAATACCCTTAAATCCATGCACTAAAACAGTCATGTAGGCCAAAACACTGTATAAATTTATTTTAAAATGGCAGAAGACTGGTTATGCCCACACTTTCATGAGGGTCACCCTGCTATTTCTATTCTTCAACCCGCAAGGAAGACAAATGAACTAAAAAACAATGTTTGCATCTCTAAGGTCAAAAAATGGCCATAAATGACCCAACTATTAAGAGTAACCTGCAGATGAGTCATTTATTTTTTTCCCATCTCAAATACCAGGAAAATGAAAACCATTAAAAAAAAAATCATCATTGTCCAACTGACCGGGATAAAGTTTTTGTTCTGGCCATAGACGTGCTGCTGCCTCTGCCCTTTCAATTTTGACAAGTACTTGTGCCAATATTTTCTTAGTTGCATGCACACCATTCCGTTCCATCCACATGTGTAGTAATTCATAAGCCTGACTGCGAAAATCTGATTTGTGATCAAGTTCAATTTTTTCAATTTCATTCTTCGAAAAGCCTAGTAGTCCACCGATTGTTGTTACTCTGTTGCCTATAAGAGCCGAGATTTCAATGATGATTTCCGTTGTTACTTTTGTTGAATCCGCTATAAAAGAAATTATACAATAAAAATTATTACTCTCACTTTATAAGTTAAGTATAAACCTCATTGTCATTTCTGAAGCACTGTGTTAAAATCCCTCATTGAATGGAACAATCTTTCAACCCATGAAAATATTCTTCCCATTGCACTCATAAACATTCTTTATTTGTATATAACATACCTAAATAGATCCTAGTCATTTGATTGGTTGATTTTGTACCATGTGACATTAGTTATTTTCTCCCATTTTATCACTCATCATGAAAACTTTGTTCCACCGTGCATTTTTTTTCCAACCGCATTGTCCATTGCACGTTGCCAATGGATATGAAATTACTTTGAAATGCAATCTTTGATTGGTTAAAAAGACGCAGCATTTTTTTTCCGACCGCATTGTCCATTGCATGTTGCCTATGGATAGGAAATTACTTTGAAATGCAATCTTTGATTGGTTAAAAAGACGCAGGACTGACTTTTTCCTGAAAGTTAAATCTATGAAATGACATCATGTCCAAAAGCCTACTTCTTGCTGAGCTTGTCTTAGCATTGTGCAATGCATCAGAGATTTTGTTTACTTAGAGAGTTGTTATGGTTTACTGTAAAGTATATTAATAGCATGGATGATACCTCAAAAACTATCTCAAATTTGTGCAAAATCTGTGCGGAATTCAGCCCTTATTTTCTGAAATTCGCAGACAGATTTCTAGCCTAGGCCTAGCCCCAGGGCCTATAGCATAGGCCTAGGGCCTAGCTCTTAGCCCACGCTAGACTAGGCTGCACTGATCCAAGCAGATGGGCTCACAGGGTTGATAGTAAGGTGAAATGCTGGTCCGCAGCCAGGAAGGGCCTATAGCCTATTGCTCGAGCAGGCAACAGGCATACAGTAACTTTTCCAGTCTGGGACACCTGCTTGGAAGATGATCAAATGACAAGCATCAATACAGTAGGTGTGTATAAAACAAATAATGATTTGTATTCTTGCAATGGAAAGAATATTTTCATTCGATGAAAGATTGACGGTTCCATTCTACTCATGAATTCTTCCCATTGCACTCCTAAACATTCATTATTTGTATAATTAAACTTACAGAAACACCAGTCAGGTAAGATGAATTTTTCACTGGATGTGCTAGCAAACTCGCTCTCTTCAGGCAATCTTCGTCTTGATCTTGAGTTTGGCATGTCTAATTTCAGGGGTCGTGAAGTTTCTTTATGGTGGCGGCTAGTTTTGCCTTGATGACCCGGTAGGGGATCAGTTTCTTGAATAAAATAAGAATAAGTTAAAACCTTGTTCACTATCATATCAATTACATTTTCTATATTAATCCTTAATATTTTATTCACATGTTTTATTGTTTGTGTAAAAGCAGTTTGCACATCGGTTGTGGCTTGGACTCTCAACTTCGAAGTCAGGGGTTCGAAACTCTTGCTGTACAAGTCACTTGTATCCTTGGACAAGGCACTTTATCTACGTTTCTCTCTCTACCCAGGAAAGGGGTACTTGGTAGGATGTTGTAGCATTGAATGTACTAGTTTCGTGCGCTAAGCAAGTAGCACACGCCTAAGTATACTCCCCAGGGAGCAGAGAAGGTTGCACTTTGTGTGCTGGTTTGCCATTGTATGTTATCCAGTGACTAGTAATATTAATAACGCTCAGCACCTTTGATTATAAATATTCAATTAATATTATAATGTTTTCGCTCTCAATAAGCGCAGTTTGTTGTTCTATTTATACTCATTGATAATAAAAGTAAAATGACAGGCTGCACTTTTAAGACAAATATTTTATTAGCAGGTGACTGTAAATAAAATGAAATCAATCTGTTATATGCCAGACAATGTAGGAAGGACACTCCAAGCAAGCTAATATAATAAGACAACATAAAACAAAACAGTAACCATAAATGGTGGCAAGCATGCCTACAATCAATTTATCACTATGAGGTAGAAGTACATAAGTATATAGAGACCAATAAGCTATGATACAGGATATAAAATACATTAGACTGTGTATTGGGCTACAAAGGCTCATATTCCCAAGTTAATACAATCAAGTTCAGTGATATTTTGTTCGGATTACCTATTACTGTGTCTAAAATACTGTAATATTAAAATTGCCCTTTCTAATAAGTTTGGCTTTAAAGTTATGCAAGCTGTGGACCGGTAAATTGAAATGTAGTGCTTTCTGTATGAGCTTGTGTTTTGTACCAAATTTAAGTCTGTTGAGTGGTGATCTCCGTGTTTGGTAACGCAATGTTTGACCGCCAAACACGAAGATCTCCGTGTTTCATGTTTTTTTATGGAATCCGACAAGTGGGATACAATTGCTGACATGTATTAACAATTTGAACACAATATTCAGTCTGGGGACTGTAAGTATTTCACTACTTGTTTGTTGACATTGAGCGTAGCGGTTTTGACTATCACAAAATCGCGATTATCTAAGTTTTGTTGTGAAAAATTGCATAAATCTCCAAAGTGTGTCATTTTCATTTTACGGGTCACAGATTGTGATTAGAATAAAGTGTTTGGTACCATTGTAAAGCTATAATGTAAGAATGGCCCCAGGAAAAACGGCCCCAGTAAGTAATTTTCATTTTATTTTCAATAATATAATCAATATATAATCATCATGTGCTGCACTTCAAAAAAATGCACCACCAATTGTCTGTCCTACAGTGGAATAAATCTCTCATCATCACTAGCCAAAGTCGCGGTGGTTGAATGGCAAGAAGTTAGGTCTACTCTATTTACACTATAAAGCCCAATTGTCTGTGTCACTGTCAGCACGAATCTCTCTCTCTCTTCACCAATGTCTTGACGACCTATATATCTTTTTCTCAGCCTCCTTTTCTTTTTTTGGTTTTCTTCAAATTCTTTTGTTTTGGTTTTGACATCCAAAAAAAAAATATCATAATTCATCTGCCAAAGTGTTTTGGCTTCCTGTTTTCTTTCCCAATCCTTCGTTTGATTTCTTAGTTTGAAGATGTCATAATTTACATTAGCCAATCAGAGAAACAGACCGTCATTATACCAATGTTTGCAAAATTGGCGGTGCCGGCATAATAAACAATGGCTTATTTTTATTATGCCCGCTGCTGCCTTAAAATCTCCAAAAATGAGAACAGATATGCCTACTGTACGTTATAACGTACAGTAGGCATCTCTGTTTCTATGTATTTCTTCCCAATTACATAAATTTAAAGCATTTTAACCGTCCTAACCATTGGCCAGGCCCTAAGCCTATTGTTTATACATTCACAAATAAAATTTTATTTTTATTTCTTCCTCCAACTGGATGTTTTTGGCAAAATTATTTGCTAAAAGAAAACACAAATTTTTTTTTCACCCTCCTGACGATCTTAAAAAAAATAAGTTTGTGAAACAAGGTGTTTAGGAGGAATTTCATAATTAAGAGATATTTAAAAACAAAATTAAGTAAACCATTAAAGGAGGAGAAGAGAATATACCATAGGGAATACATGGTTAAGACTAACAAATTTAAATACCACTGACGAAGATAGATCCACTCTGATAGGATATATAAAATGGGAGGTACAAGCAGGTAACAAAAATGTGAATAACAAAATGAGTTAAACCAAGAAGTAAATGAGAAAGCAGAATTAAAAGAGAACTGAAGCAGAAAATTAAGTGAATAGCGATACCAGTGAATTTAGTGAATTATTACATGAAACAAATAAAAATTGTGAACTGTGAATTTGAGTGAAAATAAATTGTGAATTCTGAGCCTTAATCGAGTGCCTTTACTTTGTCTACAAACACAAGGTTTAAAAAAAAAGGCTCTCTAGTTAAAACAGCAATAAACCAAAACGACAATAAACCAAACGTGACAACACTTTTTTTACCAGAACGGCAATAAGTCAAATCGACAATAAACCAAAACGTGACTAATATAAAAATATTAAAAGGTACAACTCAAATAAGATTAACTGACCATTGTGAAATTCAATAATAAAAGTTTGGTGGAAACACAATATAAGCAGTAAATATTAAAATAAATTTTTTAAAATGACGATGATGAAGATTGGGGAAAACAAAGAGCATTTATATATTCAAATTAATAAAACTTTTATACAGACAAAATACAACACCGCATTGTTTTTAAGATATTATTAATAGTTTTTAAATGTTTAAATGGTTTGGCTCCTGACTATGTTGCCGACATGATTCGGCCTTATATTCCTGGGCGTAACTTGCGCTCTTGTGCAAACTATTTTTACACCAGCCTAAGTCATTTAGGATTTTCACTGAGGCGTATAGACTACCTTGATGTTTCTCTGTTGAATTTATATTACTCAAAAAAAAAAATATTTAAAAAAAAAACTAAACACATGATACCACTTTTCTCTGTCGACGCAATGCAGCTCCTGTTGCAGTGCACGGTAGTGGAGCCCCGGGCTTATCCTGGGGTGGAAGGTGCTGATGCTCAACATACTGCCTTTGGGTATATGCGTATACTTATATGGGGAGCAACATCGCCTCGATGAAATAATTGGTATTTGGATTTTGCTGAAAATTCTTCTGGGAATAATTTGGATCTTGTTGGTTTAATTGTCTATGCGCCTTGAGCACCTTTGGTGGAGATGTGCGCTTTATAAATCTTTATTATTATTATTATTTATATTATTATTAAAATGAGGCATCTAAACAATTTGTCATGGATGTATCAAAAAAAAAAGAAAAAAAATGTGATTTGACATTAAAAGCGAGAAAAAGAGCCCATGGATGGCCAGATTAACAGGGCTTTTGGGGCACCAGCCCCACGTCCCAATGGGGAAAAATAGGACCCCTAACCCCAGGAAAAATCACTGAAAATCTAGGTTTATATTTTAGCCACAGATAATTTAGGCTCCGAGCAAATACAGCCCCAGGCACCACAGCCCTTTAATCCGACCCTGCCCATTTGTAATAGGTAGGCCTGCTGTATTTCAATTCCTGCAGACGATCGGGCTAATTTCAAGATGATTCGATTTGGTCAATGCCTTTTGCCATTTTGGTACTTGTCATTGCCGTTTTAGTTTATTGCCGTTTTGGTAATTGCCGTAACTGCTACTAGGCCCTAGTACCTTTGCTAGGCCTAGTACCAAAAGGTCTTGCCTTACCACCATCTGCATCGCCATCCTTATGGTCAATAACTGGGCCTAGGCCTACACTGCTCGAGAGATTAGAATCATCAAGCCTTTTCTTGAGCGATGAGGCAGGCGTGGCAGTTTCAGTTTCATCTGAAGAAGGTAGGCCTAGTCTAGACATAACAAATTTTGCGAGTTTTTTGGTACTCATTTTTTCCTCCGTAACTGACGCAGCATCTTAGGCCTAGGCTACCTACTGGTAATTCGGCCTACTACTACTACTCGGTCCAACTTTCAAATCTGTCAGCAAATCGCTGGGCAGTTTTGTTGACAACCTAGATCTAGAAATCTGTCGCAATTGCAGACCTAAATTTCCAGTAATCTCACGAGGTAAAGCAGGTGGTAACTTCCGTCCTTCGACACAAACTTCCTCTTCCATCGACAACCACCCAGCAGTTTCTGTTCCTGTATGGAACGCCATCGCTGCCTTCGGTAACAGCTTACCATTCGGCGCATTTACATTCGGCCCTTTTACCATTACGTTCGGCTCTTTTACCATTCGGCGCATTTACACTCGGACCTTTTACCATTACGTTCGGCTCTTTTACCATTCGGCGCATTTTCATTCGGCTCTTTTAGCATTACGTTCGGCTCTTTTACCATTCGGCGCATTTTCATTTGGCCCTTTTACCATTCGGCGCATTTACATTCGGCCCTTTTACCATTCGGCGCATTTACATTCGGCGTATTTACATTCGGCACAATTAAAAATAAAATATAACTTTTGACATCGGGTCAAATAAAAAAAATCAACGGCTGTGGGAATGAGCCTATAGACCCCCTGCAATGTATTTCTTGAAAGATTGGCGGCGCGGTCAACTGGACGAGGCAAAAGACTTCACGGTATAGGAGAAATGCATGTAAAACAGAGATACGGGTTATTATTTTTTTGTTGTGTCAAAAATACGAAAGCTACATGAATAAAATTCACCTATGTCATAGGCCTAGTTATATATATTAGAAATTACAGTTTTTCTATTTTTTGGTTGGTGCGACGATTTCCCCAAATGATTTTTAAAAAATGAATAAAAATAGAAAAACTGTAATTTCCTAGATTCTTATTTTTTTTGTCCATTCCTAATATATATAACTATGACATATATGAATTTTATTCATGTAGATTTCGTATTTTTGACACAAAAAAAAGTAACCCGTATCTCTGTTTTACATGCATTTCTCCTATACCGCGAAGTCTTTTGCCTCCAGTTGACAGCGCCACCAACGTTTCAAGAAAGGCCAATGTAAATATAGGCTCATTCCCACAGCCGTTGACATTTTTTATTTGACCAGATGTGAAAGGTAATATTTTATTTGTAATTGCGCCGAATGTAAATACGCCCAATGTAAATGCGCCGAATGGTAAAAG